TAGTAATCTTAAAAAAAAAGTATGAAAGTATTTATAAAATTAATCTTAATTTCTCTTAATAAGAGCCATTGTATTTGTAACTATAAAATTAAGTGATAGGGCACAACACAGTGGCCTAATGGCTAAAGTCCTCGCCTTGAAGGCACTGGGATCCCATACAGACACCAGTTCTAATTGTGGCAGCTCCACTTCCCATGCAGCTCCCTGCTTGTGGCCTGGGAAACCAATTGAGGAAGGCCCAAAGCCTTGGGACTCTGCACTCGTGTGGAAGACCTGGAGGATGTTCCTGGCTCCTGGCTTCAGATTGGCTCAGCACCGACCATTGTGGTAACTTGGGGAGTGAATCAACAGATGGAAGATCTTCCTCTCTGTCTTTCCTCCTATCTGTATATCTGACTTTGCAATACAAAAAATAAATAAATCTTTAAAAAGAAAAAAATATCTGTCTCTCCTTTCCAATAAAAATTGATAAATCTTTAAAAAAAAATGCAGTTTTTGAAAGAAAAATTAAGTGATACAACTAACTGTTATAAAGAAAAACAGCAAGTGGAAAATCAAAATGGTGGAATAGGGTAAAGGACACATTTAAATAGATGGAGAAACATTAACCAGTATGAAGCAGAGAGGACAAATTCCAGAAATAGGAGAGGACAGAACAACAGCATGGGGTACCTAGAGACTGATAGACACAGGAAAGCAGCGGACACAACGGTGTGGTGTCACAGTGACTAATACACCAGCAGCATTCAGCAAATGGTGAACTGAACTCCACCAGCAGCCAGAAATCCACCAGCAACCAGGTGGGAAGAGACTCAATGGGAGATGAACTCAGACAAAGAACTGCCTGTCCTGCTGGTCTGTTTGATTTGACCAGGAGCAGAGAAAGAGCAGCAGATCCCAGACGGGCAGTGCGAAAACAGCGTGGATTTCACAGCCCAGCATTCGCCCCTAGAACCGACTCCGGTGCCATTTTGTTTAAGGAAGCAAAGGAAAGGACTGAATACACACTGAGCTGGGAGTGAACTCATTTCTGACTCAGTGAACTGCAACAACGTGGCATCCTACAGGTTCCACCCAAGACAGGTCCAGGTAGTCCTCAGACCTGATGGCCAGCAGATCAAGAACTCTAGTAGTGGCACATCAGGCGCCATTTTGTACACTGTGGCAAAAGCTTTAGGACTAGGGACAACAGTGAACTGTGCATGTGCTGAGCTCGTGAGAACTCACTAAGCTCACTGGATTGCACTGGTCCTGCAGGAAAATAATACTGACTGTGGCATCGTATGGGTCAAAATAGGTCCGTGTGGCCCTCAGACCTAACAGCCAACAGGTTCCGGCAACCCAGCTATACAGGACTCCTGATGTCTCCCTAATCCTGGGACCTACTCCAACCAGAAGTGGGAGAAAGGTTGTACAGACAACAGTGCAGCCTCAGCACAGTGTCACAGGAGGTGGAGAGTGGTGAGCCAGGAGCTGGGGCTAAAGAGACCATGCTGGAAATCTAACATAAGAACCCAGACCTGGAACTTGCTGGAGGGAGTGGCACAATTGGCTGCAAATTAAGAGCTGCACATCAACTACAATAAGTAAAATCGCATTGTAGACCTGTGGGTGACAGAGCTTAGAAACCTGTCCCAAGGAGAAGACTCTGATAATCAGAAGTAAAATGACCAAAAGCAAAAGAAGAGACAAAGGCAAAATGAATATTACTAAAGCCTCCCCTGCAAAGGAGCAAAACCCTATGCCAACCTCAGAGTTAACTGAGGAAGGCATCAACAAATTGGAAATACAGAATTCAAAACACTTGCTATAAAACTTCTTAACAATGAGAAGCACATAAAGCAGGAGTTCAAGGAATTTAAGGAATATGTCACACTGGAAATGAATCAAATGAAAGCTGATATATCAGAAATGAAGAATACAGTGGAGCAAATTAAAAGTACAGTGGAGAGTCTCCAAAATAGAATGAAGCAAGCAGAAAAAAGAATCTCAGAATTGGAAGATATTTCCTGTCACCAGGGGGAAGCAAACAAAAAGCTGGAAGCAGAGCTGGATCAGGCCAAAAAATATTCAAGAATTGAAAGACACTATTAACAGGCCTAATATAAGAGTTATGGGAGTCCCAGAAGGTGCAGAAAGAGAAACTGGGATTAAAGGTGTATTCAATGAAATAATAAAGGAAAATTTCCCTAATCTAGAGAAAGAATTGGGAAACAACATCCAGGAGGGGCACAGAACTCCCAACAGGCTTGATCAAAAGTGATCTTCACCAAGACACATGATCATCAAGCTCTCTTCAATCAAACATAAGGAAAAGATCCTTAAATATGCACATGAAAAAAAAATATCAAGTGACATATAAAGGAATGCCAATTCGATTCACAGGAGATCTCTCACAGGAAACTCTACAGGCAAGAAGAGAATGGAGTGACATATTCCAGATTCTAAAAGCAAAAAAACTGTCGACCTAGGATAACATATCCAGCAAAGCTTTCTTTTGCCTTTGAAAATGAAATAAAATTCTTCCACAGTAAAGAAAAGCTCAAAGAATTTGCCTCTTCCAGACCTGCTCTACGAAGGATGCTCTCTTGACAGAAAAGAGGAATAGCATCAAACAAAACCAAAGGCAAATGTGAAGAGCATCTCAGTAAAATGACAACAGAAGACTAAATCAATGAACAGCACATTGCTAAAACGACAGAACTAAATTACCATCCAAATTAACCCTGAATGTAAATGGCTTAAACCCATCAATCAAACGTCATAGATTAGTAGACTGGATTAAAAAACAAAACCCATCTATTTGTTGCCTACAGGAGACACATTTCACCAACAAAAATCAGCAGAAACTATATTTCATGGATTTTGATTTTTTTTTTTGTTTCACCTCTTCAAAACACTTTTTTCTCATTAAATTCTTCAATGACTCATAGATCATAGAGTAGCATCATTTTCTTCAAGAAGGTTCTTGATTTTCTTTTTCATTTCTTCAGTGACACATTAGTCATTTAGTAGCATGTTATTTAATTTCATGGTGTTATTAATTTTTTTTTCTTCCTGTTATTGATTTTGTTTTGTGGCTTTTAAGGGGATGTATAGCAACTGTATTGGAAAATATCATATCTACCAGCATGTTATTTAATTTCATGGTGTTGTAAATTTCTATTTTTCTTCCTATTGTTGATTTTGTATCGTGGCTTTTCATTTAAGGGGATGTACAGTAACTGTGAAATGGAGACTAACATATGCAAATGCAGTATGTATCTTTACTTTCAGACTAAAGCTGGACTCCAATGTAACTGTTTAGTAAATGACAACAGGATACTGGACTCTCTGCCATTGTCCATGTCCACAATAATGGACATATGACTGTATATGAAGAACTATACTGTAGTAATGATATAGGGGAACTTGGTTGGGGGGGTAATTGGGGAAGGGATAAGGGAAATCCCAGAGGCCTATGGAACTGTACCATAAAATGATGATGATGATGATGATAATAATAAATAAAAGATTTTTAAAAAAGAAAAATGGCCAAGAAAAAAACAGTTCTTAAGATAGTTGTCTCTGGGTGTAAACATAGGAGTGAAGAGGGAGGATGCAGGAAACTGCCAATGACCTTTTTCTGTACAACATATTAACAATTCTAAAAATATTAGGTTACGTACATCTAAATATTTTTTAATATTTCTACTTACTTAAGGTTATTTATTATTTCTTAGCAGTATTTATTTCATTAAAGATTATTTAATTATTTGAAAGAAAGAGCAACAGTGAGACAGAAATAGAAAGATATTCCATCTGTCAATTTTCTCCCAAATGGCTACAAAGGAAAGGCGTGGGACAGTCTGAAGCAAGGAACCAGGACCTCCAACCAGGTCTGCCAGGGTTCAAGAACCTGAGCCATCTCCCACTACTTTTCCAGACACTTTAGCAGCAAGTTGAATTACAGCAGTGGCCAACACTACGGGCTGCTGAAGTCACAGCAGTGATTCAACCTACTGTGGCAACACTGGTCCCCTTTTTTTTAATATTTTTGAGTAAATCTGAGGTGAGAAAATTTTTTAAAAATCTGATAATATCACACTCTTAGTGAAATTCCATGAACTTTAAGAACCTATTTGTATATTTCACACATAATGTTGAAAAACTACAATGCAACACAACAGCACCCCACGCAGTCTGTGGAATACAAATTAGAGAGGAAGACATACAAGGCTATTATTGAGAGAAGAGATTTAATGAGAAAGGTATGAGCTTGATTATACACTAACAGGGGAAAAAAATCTATGGCAAGAAAAAATCTTAAGTCACAGGTGACAACAGGAACAGCTGTAAGAGACAGAGTCCTGGAAAGGGACAAGACAGGTGAACACAGCTCACCAAGAGTCCTAGACTTCAGCAGGACCACCAAGCTGTGCAGGCAGGTGCTCAGTCGAATGAGAACTGACCTAACTAGACAACTCCGTACAAGGCAAATGCAATGCCGATCATGACACTGGCAGCTGGCAGGAAAGGGTGAACAAGTAACTTCTAACAGATATGGAACTGAAGAATGTCAAGTGAAAGGAACCACACAGGGCATGTGGGAGAAAAGCAAATGACGGAATTTAATCAGGACACTAGTATCCAGATGGGCTTAACTGAAAAGGCATAAAAGAGCTACAGTATCTCAAAGCACTGACTACAAGCACAGAAGCAAACTCCAGAGTACTGAGAAATCTCCAAAATATTTTGAGATAAATACAAAAAATTCCTATATTTGGTTTATACACATTAAATAATCTTATTTCAACACTGTTTAAGGAGTGTGGCTTTTTCCCTTTATTAAACCCACACAAGCAAAATATACAGTTTATCATCATCTCCAAATATACCACAAGTCCCCTGACAACGAAAATAACAGAACTTTCTAAAGCTGGATTTATCATGCAAGATTTTAAAAATAAATCAAGGTAGGAAATAAGCTCTGACCATAGCTAATTAAAGTAAATGCTTACCTGAACCCACATGGCCTGAATATTTGACAAGGCACTTCCCTGTCTCTATACTCCACAGCAATGCCGTGTGATCTGTAAGGTCAAAATCATTAAGTTATGACTTAGCCATCCGCAATTTTAGGCTTTTTAACAAATGAACAAGATATTCTGAGAATGATGTTGTATTACCCTAATATTACTTGCAGCTCTGATTCTACTTCTCTGTAAAATACAGTTGATCCAAGGACACATTTCCAGTACTGGACAGAGTGCGGTTCATCGAAGACCACTGATTTGGCGAATGAATGAACAATCAAGGTCTCACCTTCCTAGTACACTATGACACTGGGCTGCATTTATGCTTGGGATTTACACATAGAAGTCACTATACATTTTACTGAAAGTATTAAAACTCCCAGAGTACCATATACAAATTCAAATAGCACCCAAATCCAGTTATTAATTATCAGGTGCTAAGTATTCCTTTCATATTTTTCCTCTTACGGCAAAATTAAAATTTAAGTAGATCTGACAGAAAATCAGAATAAACAGCAGTATCCAAATGAAATTTCAGAAATTTCAAAAAGGATATTTTTAACCTTCCCTAAAACTTATGTACTTCACTACTATCAGAAAAACATCAAATATAATTTTTAAAAACATATTTGGATATGAATAATAAGAACTGAGCTAACCACAAACTATCCAAGGCTTAAAAGATATCCTGCCTCTGCTGCCTCTACTACCTAAATATGAACTCCTTAACCAAATTAAGTTAAATCCAAGCACTTCCTTCTGCAGACCTCCAAGCCCACTGTTTGGTGTAGTATCCTATCTACTGGGCTACAGAATTGGAAGACAGTATGCTTCAGTACATCTTCAAATGTTCCCATAACAAAGCCCAACACTTTGGTTCTAACGATTCCTCCATCGTATTTTTGCTTCCATGTATCACTCCATTACAGACAGCTGAATGTCAGTCACTTCAGCCAGTAACCAAACCACATGGTTCACTGAGCCAGCTGGCTCAGTGTCTGACTCACCAGCAGATGCGGTCCCCAGCACCACTGGCTGTGTCCTTGCAACACTGACATCCCAGATGCCATCCCTGTGGCCAATGTACTCCTTCACAAGCTGGCAGACGGCCCTTGATGTGGTCGTCTTGAAGCTAGAGACAATCTGAAATTCAGAAGGGAAGGAGCACTGTAAGCATTTACTGAAATAAATATTTTCAAGTTAAAAAAGGTTAAGACAGAGGAGGGCTATCTTGAAAATGCATTAATCCACTGAATAGAATATTTTAAACAATAAAGGAATACTAGTATGAGCAGAACAGAAAAACCTTGTACAGCAATACTAGGTTCATTCAGCTCAACATACGACAGAATAAGTCCTTACAGAGGCTTTGGAAGACTTTTCCTAAAGAAGTTCAACAGCAGTGAGGACATAATGTCTTATGAGGAGAGCATTTACATGTTTAAAGTCACTCTTCCACAAATCCAAATCATCAAGCAAAAGTTCCAACTTTGTTGAATGAACTATTAGCTAGCTAGTAAGCTAGACATGGAAGTCAAGAACAGCCCAAACCATTATTATGCATTGCTGTGATCACTGGGGGACTTTTTGATTGTTTCGTTTTGGGTCACTGACACCAATCACATATAGCCCATGATGGGGAGGAACCAAAAGACGACACTTCTGACAGATGAGTAGGTTTGTTAAGAGTGTTTATTAGCACTTGGCTCTGAGTCAGGCGCTATGCTAGACGGAGGAAACAGAGCAGGGCAACACATGAGCTCCTTGCCAGCAAAAGCTCACAGTCTAATCACACAGACATGGAAACAGTACAAACAACATACACGCACAGTACACTGTTGTCTCATAGAGCATTATACACAACAAGCAGTTCTCTTACAAGCAAAAAATCAGCGAGAGAGAAAGAGACTAATTAAACATAATCATATTCTTTTAGTTTGGCTTTTAAATTGGTCTCAGATAAAAGAAGCTTTTTCGCTTTTAAGTAGATCAGTATAATGTAGATTATTCAGGATAATGAAACAAACAAAAATGTTTGCAGCATTATACAGCTTACTTTAAACAATGCTTCAGCAAAGCACTGGAAAAGGTGTCTAAACCCACTTTTACATCAACATTAAAATATAATTCAGAACCTACTATTACATCAATTCAGACATGTACATAAAATTTATTCTGAATACAGTGGAACTAAAACAAAATGCTTCATCAAAAGACTGACATTTTTACTTGTAATAAAAATAAATTCATTTCACTTGCTTTGGTTTAAATTTAACAAGTACTACAAAAGAATTTGTTCAATCTGAAACACATTATTATCGTCTTTCTGAAAGCTGTTCAATCCAGGAAAATTTTCCCTATACAATATGAAAAAGCGTTTCTACTTACTCTAAGTACATTTAGAGGGTAAACAGTATTACAATATTTTAAGAGGGAGTAAAGCTAAAATGCACAGGAAACTTTTCATATAAGATGCTATAATAAATTCACTTATCCATTTCGCCCAGCATTTCTAACACTGAAACAAATCAATGGAGCCCCATTCTTCACGCACCCCATTCGTACCATGAAAGCAGAGGGGGTTACTACCTTGAACTTTAGCTGTTTTGCTGGTGTTATTTTGGAAACAGAAAGCAACCAGATTACTGTACCATATCATTTCATGTGCTGCTTAAAAAATACCCTTTACACTCTGATCATCTGTTAACTTCAACTCTTTGTTCTCTTAGTCAGTTCTAAAATGCCCAACAGAACAGACCTGAACTACTTATACAAAATGGTCATGACAGGAAAGCAGCAAAATGATGACACATATCATCCCAAATCATTTCGGCAACTGAGATAAAAAACCTAAAACACATGAGAGAACTCAGAAATGGGGTTTGTTTGGGTTTTTTTAAAAACAATAAAACACTATCTTTCAAAAATAACTACAAAAACGTCAGAAAGTTTCTTTAAAGTAGTGTATAAGTTAGACTATCTTACTGCCCTCCCAAGAACACATTAGAAATAAATCAGAGAGCACTCAAACAGAAGGAAAATCCTTTGTGGAAAAACCTTAACACATTTTTGTGCTTCCACTGTCCCAACAAACATGCTAGTTGCCTCTCAGGGCTCTGAGTCAGAAGCAGGGAAAGCAATGAACTTGGACTGATGCACTTTCCTGTTGCATTCATGCCTACCTGTATTTACAAGAACCTATGCTGCAGTGCAAGTCAGAATATATTTTTACCCTATTATTTCTTCAATTTTCAGATGATGTCCTGTTTTTTCAATATTATTAAGATGCATATACACTGTGCAAAATGCTCCAAAAGTCACTAATAACATGCTTCTTAGCAAATTGAAATGAATTTCTAGTATCTAAAATAGTTGAGGCTTTAAGTAATTCTAAATAATCAAAGCAAAGTATATTATAGGTTTCCTTACCTTACTCCAAAATCTTATTTTTTATTGTTCATGGTAAAGGATAACTTTATATAATCATTTCTTCCCCTACTTCAGAAATAACCAGAAAGTTTTGAAATTCTAAGACCACATTCTGTACACATATAATTGTGAGCGTAATAGACAACATAATTCAGGATCTTTTAACAAGAAATTATGTGTGAAGACCATAATTTCACATTTCGTTAAAAAGAAAAAGTTTAAATCTAATTAAAAATGTCTAGTAAATACAAGCTACATCATGATATAATCAAACAGATCAAACGTAATCTAGCTTATTTGAAAAAAGTCAACAACAGGAAATGCCAGCAACATTTACATTTTTTAATAAAAAGAATTACCAAGGATTTTCAAATGAGAAGAAATAGCAAAAAGACTGAATTTGCTGTATTAACTGCAGCTAATCTCATTTTAGATGACATGATAAATAATCTTAAACTCTAAAAAAAAATGGGAAATATAAAAAATGATACAGCATACTCAATGCAAATTTTAACTGTTCCCTTCATGTTTAGCAAAGGAACATACATTCATTAAAGTTAGGTACATAATCTGTCTTTCATATCTTTGAAATACTCCAAAATAGCGATGCATACAAAACAATCTCAAAATTTATCATTTGTAATAGTACTCTATTATAAACAGATTCTCAGATATAAATCCTTGACTCTTTAAGAAGAACAAAACAAGATACTTTCAAGAAACAGCAAAACACAACTGTCTCTATTAGCCTCTTCCTAACACTTGGAAATAGAAGATAATGAACTAAATGGAATTAAAATATAACTTTAACTTAGAAAACCATAATTGCATTACTTGACATCTATTTATACGCTTTCTCCAATTTTGCAGCTTTTGTAACAAGCCAATTAACAAGAGAAAATATATATATTTCTAAAGACAGTATCTCGACTAGTGCATAAATGTATTGATAAAAAGAACTACTAGAACAAGCTACTGAGTATCTATATAATACAGCCACTTGACATGATTTTTTAATTGAATTTACCTAGACACCAGACATTTCTTTTTCTAGTATACATTTCTAATTGAAAAATATGCAGGTTAAAGTACACATCAGCACACCTTAAACACCACATGACTGGCTCAAGTGTCAGTGCCCTGCATACCTTGCTGGTAGAAGCCTTGTAAGTAGTCTTTAGTTTCTGAGAAAGCTGACTGGTACTGTGACTGGCTGCAGAGACAAAGAATCAACAATCAAACACATTCCTACAAAGAACCTGGGCATCACAAAGTGGGCCTTGCATCTTGGGGAGAAAGTGAAACCCAAAAGGCTTCCTTCAACTGTGCTAACCTGGCAACAGTGGCAGACCTGAGAATGAATGCACCTGCTCCCTCACTCCGTTTTTCCAGACCCACCCCTAAATTATGTCCTTCAGGTTCTGCTTAGAGCAAAGAGCAAATCAGTGTCCCTGATTAAATTCCAAATGGCCTTGATAATATGGAAGCAATACTTTCTGTGAACTTTACCTTTCGTTTTGAGTTGGCCCTTACTAAGTTCTGCTCCATCGATGGCTTGTCCTTCAGCTGCTAAGCGTTCATTCAGAGTATCAATTTCTCTTCGCACTAAAAAATATGTTTTTAGAAAAAGCATTTTTATGCTAAATGTACTTACCACTTCCAAATTGCACAAATAAAAAGGTTACATTCCAATGTTGTCTAAACCCACGAAAAATATTCTAACAGTCAATATCTCAATTTATATAAAGATTTCAAAAACCTCAAGGCATTCAGGATTTCATTACAAAAAAGACACACATAATCTTCCTGAGTACAGTGAAGCTCCTGCTACTGTGAGCTCCCACAGGCACCGGCATTTCAGTAGCTGTGCAAATTTCCTCTGTGCCTGGATCTGTGCACTTGGAATCTTTACTGACACTGTCTAAAATTCAAAGAAGCAAGCAGGTACTCCAAAAAGGTCATGAAAAAATGGAAATGAAAGTGTGACAAGGTGGTTAAGACACTGCTTGGGAATATCTGGGTTTTCGGCTGCATCTCCTCCAATCTTGGTCCAGCTTCCTCCTTATGTACATCAGGAAGCAACAGAGAGGAACCGCCATTGGGACAACCCTGATTGAGTTCTGAGCCCCTGTCCAGAGCCTACTGTTTGGGTATTTGCACAGTCCAACAGTAGATGGAATCTATTTGTTTGCCTTTCAAATAAAATGAAATGAAACACTAAAAAAGCTAACTTTATTTTGGTATAAGAAATTTTGAGGCGCTGGAATCATCATGTGGCAGGCTAAGCTGGAATCAGGAGCCACAACAGGGAGACATACGTAGGCACTCGATGTAAAATGCAGTCGACTTAACTCCTAGACCAAACATTCACCCCAGTCTTATTTTAGCAAATGCTATTTTTTATAATAAAGTATTTTCTGGAACTGGTGCCATGGTATAGCAGCCTAAGCCTCTACTGGTGGCACCAGTTTCTGTCCCAGCTGCTCCACTTCCAATCCAACTCCCTGCAGAGCCATCTGGGAAAGCAGCAGAAGATGCCCTAAATCCTTGGGCCCTGTGCCCACAAAGGAGACCTGGAAGACAGTCCTGGCTTAAATTCAGCTATTGTGGGGGCCCAGCACAGTAGCCTAGAGGCTAAAATCCTCGCATTGCCCACACTGGGATCCCATATGGATGCTGGTTCTAATCCCAGCAGCCCCGCTTGCCATTCAGCTCCCTGCTTGTGGCCTGGACAGCAGTCAAGGACGGCTGAAGGACTTGAGACCCTGCGTCTGCATGGGAGACTCAGAGTAGGCTCCTGGCTCCTGGCTTTGAATCGCCTCAGCTCCAGCTGTTGCTGCCACTTGGGGAGTGAATCATCGGATGGAAGATCTTCCTCTCTGTATATCTGTCTTTCCAATAAAAAAAAAAGCCATTGGAGAAGAAAACCAGCTGATGGAAGCTCACTCGCTCTCTCTGTCTCTCCTTCCCTATAACTCCTCTGCCTTTCAAATAATAATTAATAAAACTTTTACAAATTTTTCCAAGTCCATGTATATTTTTTCATAATACACATTTTTCATGAACTTTGACAGTCCCTTGTACTTACAGTCTCACTGAGGACCCTGTACTTGAGGAGCAATGATACATAACTACCGACATATGGTACCACACAGTTACCAGGAAAGGGTTACATATAACAAGAATTAAAAATGTAAGAAAGTTCTGAAAAACAAAAATTACAGGATTACAGGAAAGGACAAGAAATATAAAAAAGTACAGAAGCTATAAAGAACAGAATGAACAAAAACAATGAGATGGGAAATGTGCGCTCTGTTGCATGTCAGGCCCTGCAGGGCGGGCCTGCAGCATCCACTCTGTGACCTAGCCTGTGGAGATGAGGAACACAGGCACTCAGCCAGGACACAGCTGCTCTAAAAGCACAGAGCTCCTGATGTAACACCCTGACACACCAACGACACCAGGAAGTCTCCCACGACTGGGAAAAGAAAACTGGGCTGGTGGAAGGTCTTAGTGCAAGAACAGAACAAGTTACGATGAGGAAAATGCTGACAGCGAAAGGTCCTAAACAACGTCCAATATGAGCAACCTGGATTTCATCTTATGGACAGAAAGGATCCACAAAACCCCTAAGTACTGGATGATAATGCCAACTCACTGCGTTCACAACCATATTCCCGTCATTTCTTGGCCAAGCTGCAACCATAAAACTGAAAACCGCTGGTCACTGAAAGCTGAACAGTAAGTATTCCAGTTGTAAAAACTCTGATACTTAAAAGGTACACAGTGCATGGTACCTAAGTTTTATTTTATAAAAAATTGAAATCACTTCTCCCATCATAAATTTTCATAGTAGACTTTTAAAAAAAGAAACACCAGTTATTAAATATTAAATTTTCCATCAGTAAGTTTAAATGACATAGGATTACATCATCTTCATTACCAAGGGAAAGGCGACCCTGCATCCTAAAATCACAACCAACAGGCTTTAGGAAATGGCCGTCCTTAGTCACCAGAGGGAGCACGGCTCTGCCAATACCTTGACTTTCTTTCCTCCAGGAAAATCAGACCAGATCTTTAGAACTTTAAGATAATACATGTCATTTTAAACTAAAAAATGTGTTACTGCAAATCAGAAAGCTGAAATGGAAATTTATGCTTACCCACAAACTTTACTGTCAAATTTTTGATAGTGAGTGAAAAATTATAAAACAAGATTACGATAGGAAATACTCACACTCTAAGTTCTCAATATAAAGGTTCTCAAATTCTCTTTCTATTTGACCAAAGAGTTCCAGAAGTGTACTGCGAACTGAGGAAGGCAGCTTTGAATCCTGCAGAAGACAAAGATTTTGTTTAGAAGGAATGAACGAATCAATGAATAAGAAACTAATATGAAATATCAAATATTTCCCAAATAAAGTATTTTTTGTCCTAACCTCTTACTTTGCATCATTACATATTTTATACCTTATACATAAAATGCTTGAAGAATTCAAAATTGCAGTTTCTACAGAGAAAAATATAAGCATGCTGCACAAGCGGCTACTAAGGATAATATGGGATTTAAGAACAAACACTTCCTTTAAAACAACATTAAATATCTTTTTGCATAACAGGATATATGTCTATTATTCTCAAAGACTTCCAAATTGGTAGAGAAGGAATACAGTTCCCAAAAATGAAATATAACAACCTTTAAAATCATTTTAAAGATTTATATATTTATGTATGCACATATTTGAAAAGCAGAATGAAAGAAAGACACAAAGAAAAATGTTCTATCCTCTATTTTATTCCCCAAGTGGCCACAACAACCCTAGCAAATTCCACGAGTCCAAAACTCCATCAGGTCAGTCTCCCATAGGAGTGGCAGATGCCCAAATACTTGGGGAATTTCCACTGCTTTCCCAGGCACATTGGCAAAGAGCTAGACTGAAAGCATAGCAGCCAGCTCTCAAAGGAACATCTCATAAGGGGTTTAGGTAACTCAGAGGCAGTTTAACCCACTTCAAGACAATGCTGATCCCCATAAATAACGTTTAAAATGTTATATACTGATAAAAGATTGCCTTCATAGAGTTCCGATGTTCCCACTGTACTTCGAGGAGAATAAACTGCACAATCCCAGTAACGCTATTTAATACCTAAGAGACCTTGAGAAAGGAGAAAAAAGAAAAATCTCAAGGTGGGCCCAGCAGATGAAAGATGAATCTATATCTGATATTAAGCTCATAAAATAAGTAAATCTTTAACAAAAAGAAAACCTATCTGTAAAAAACAAAACGTCTACTAGTTAGAGGAAACATTAAAAAGAGTTCCCAGTGGGGACAAGTTCTACACACCTCCAGCCCCTGCCTACCAAGTCAGGGAGGGCAACAGGCGGTGGCAGCAGCAGCAACAGCAGCAGCTCAGTTCAATGGGGAAGCAAGGTTTAACAAGGAATTTATATGCTAGACACCAGTCCATTGACAAAATATGTTCAGAGGCCTGGTGTGACAGTCCATTGACTAAATTCTCGCTTTGTGTCCCAGCTGCTCCACTTCCCATCCAGCGCCCTGCTTGTGGTCCGGGAAAGCAGTAGAGGACAGCCCAAAGCCTTGAGACCCTGCACCTGCATGGGAAACTAGAAAAAAGCTCCTTGCTCTCAACTTTGGATCAGCTATAAGTAGCCACTTATAGCTACTTGAGGAGAGAACTGGTAGATAGAAGATCTTTCTCTATGTCTCTCCTTCTCTCTGTAAATCTGTCTTTCCAAGAAAAAAATAAATACTTAATATATAGGCAACTACTTGACATAGTCTACATTCAACTTGAAATCTCCTCAAGGACATGGCCTACCTATTTTATAATGCCCCTTAACCTGAGGCACTTCATTTAAAAAGAAAAATTGTCAACAGATATTTCTAAAATAACATTCCAATATTTAATTTCCATCAGTGAAATTTTCTAAGTGACTTTAAAGTTATATACAACACAAACATTTTGAAACTTGATTGTATGCCATATATGGAGGAAAAAAGGAAAAGAAACAAGAGGTAGGCTTTTGGCACAGCCACGGAGCTCAACCTTGCTAGGCCCACATCGGAAAGCAGTGCAGCTGAGGGACAGCCACTGCTAGAAGCACCAGCGTCCTGTAACGTGCACCCTGGGAAGCAGCACATGATGGCTCACGCACGTGGGTCCCTAACAACCACATCAGAGACTCGGCCTGAGTGTTGTGGCTTCCAAGTGGCCGGGCTGCAGTTACCGAGAACATGTGGGAAATGACTCAGCAGCTAGAAGTTCTCTGACTTTGCACTTCTGTTTTCAAATACATTAAGTAAATCAATAAATATTTTTTAAAGATTTATTTTTATTGGAAAGTCAGATTTACAAAGGAAAGAAGAGAAAGATCTTCCATCCACTGGTTCATTCCCAAAGTGGCCGCAATGGCCAGAGTTGAGCTGATCCGAAGCCAGGAGCCAGGAACTTCCTCCAGGTCTCCAGGACCATGGAGTGCAGGGTCCCAAGGCTTTGGGCCATCCTCAACTGCTTTCCCAGGTCACAAAAAGGGAGCTGGATGGGAAGCAAGGCAGCCAGGACACAAACCAGTGACCACATGGGATCCCAGCTCAATGCAAGTTGAGGATTTGGCTGTTGAGCCATTGTACTGGGCCAAATAAACAATTTTCAAACATATTTATTAAGTTTCTTCTGAGAATAATTTCTGAAAACGTTAACATTTTAGCATGGAGTTCTATAATAATAGCAGACTTAACAAAATAAAGTTAAGTATGTGAAACCACAAGTTAAAACTACACATCTGGGCGGTGCACTAAGGTGCAGTGGATTAAGCCACCACTTGGGGGCACCCGAGTCCTGTATCAGAGTGTCAGTTTGAGTTGCAGGCCACTGCTTTCTCTAAGGCGTCGGAATGCTAATACAGCTGAAGCTGACCGCCACTGCTCCAGCGCCACCGCCACCTCCATGGTCACCTCCACGGCCACCTGAAGACCCAGGCGGTGTTTCACGCTCCTGGCCTGCACAACAGCCCTCGCTGCTGCAGGCATCTGGGAACTGAACCTGCACACAGAACCTATCGATCTTTCAGGCAGATGAAAACATTTAAAAATGAATAAAACATGAATCTGACAGAAAAGATAATTCAACATCCCTTCACAATACCAGTGAAAAAATGATAACAAAAAGGACAACTTCAAACAACAAAAATTAAAATTAAACTATCACATCTTGTAAGTACAAGCCATAAACCTGTGCTGACCTAAGTATACTCATTAACCTTTCTTGCTCATCCAGGCCCTGTATTCTCTGCATACTCCATTCGCTCTCCACGGAACACCCTTCCTCACAAGCGCTGCCTCTACATGGAGGCCTTCCGAAATCCAAACAAGGCCAAATCCCCTCTTCCGTGTGTCAGCTCCTACAGACCTAAACCTGTGTTTCAGATCCTATTACTCAGCAACAAACGCTTATTTACCTGGACTAAATCTAACTCAACAAATGCTATGGAAACACAGTTAAGGTACAATCTGGCAAATAAAAACAAAATAAAAAATCAAGAAACTAAATGTACAGTGAAGTGAGGACAAATAGAGCCTTACAAAACTATTTTTCACCCTTTCTAGCAGTGTCCCTTTTTTGTGTCATTCAATCTCATAGGTGCCAAAATTTAAGAAAAAAAAAAGCAAACTGAGGTCAGGAAGGCTTCAGTGATGCAGTACAACCTGAAAGAAACTGCATCTCACCACACCGTTGGACACACAGCTCAAACACTGTGGCACACACACACACAAGCAGCTCCTCTGGCTCTGCTCAACACTGAGCCTGCGTGCTGAGATGCAGACGCATACTTTGTCTAGAACGGGACTCCCCTGCACTGTTTAATTCAAACCAAGACAACCAATAACCCTGTATTTTCAGATCATTCCACTTAAAGCTACCAACCACTTACACCAAGCATTATCACTCTCTTCTTTCTGCAGAAGGTAAACAAAGCACCTTTCACTGGCCATTCACAGAACATGCTGGTAAATTCCACTCAAAATAACTAGACTTAATCAGCAAATGAACACTGCCAAGGGAATGTAGAAGGCACAAAGCTGAGGGGCATCAAAGGGGTCCAGAGGACAAAGCTGCACACCTTTACTGTGATTGCATTTATTCTGAAATGCAATCAATCCCACAGTACCACATCACAATAGAGGACAGGAACATAATTATCTCATGTGTGACGTAACTCTAGACCATAGCAATAAAGGAGGTCGTATACAATTTTCAAAGCTAAAAATCCAAGTGTAAAAATTTTTTGAACCTATTATTAACTGTTTGCCTGAACTAACCAATATGGTAGCCACATCTGACTACATAAATTTCTACACCAAGTAACCAAAAATTAAAAACTAAAAGTTCAAGTTCTGAGTCAAATCAGCTACAATTCAATTGCTCACCAGATACATGAAGCTGTAGATTTCATATCACATAGTGCTGATATGGGATATTTCCATCATCACAGAAGTTTTAACACATAGCTCTGGTTCCACTCTCTGAACTGCTGGCTAAATTATGTCCCTCAAACTTCAAATGTTGAAGCTCCAACATTCATCAACTCAGAACGCAACCATATTGAGAGGTATGGTCTTCACAGAAACAACTAAGATAAAAAACAATAATGTAACAGGGCCTGGCATGATGGTGCAGTGGTTAAGGTCCTCGCCTTGCACGCCCGGGATCCCATATGGACATCGGTTCTAATCCAGGCAGCCCCTCTTCCCTTCCAGCTCCCTGCCTGTGGCTCTGGAAAGCAGTCGAGGACGGCCCAAAGCTTTGGAACCCTGCACCCGTGTGGGAGACCCAGAAGAGGCTCCTGGCTTCAGATCGACATAGCATTGGCCGTTGAGGCTCACTTAGGGAGTGAATCATCAGACAGAAGATCTTCCTCTCTGTCTCTCCTCTCTGTACATCCGCCTTTCCAATAAAAATAAATCTTTAAAAAAAAAATAATGTAACAACAGTAGGTACTAATGCCACATCACTGGAGTCCTTGTAAGAGACAGGGACAAGGGATGCCGAGGACAGACCATACAACAATATGGGAGAAGAAAAACACCTTTAACAGTCAAGAAAAAACCAATCCTGTAAACAACTCATTTTGGACATCCAGAATGGTAAGAAAACAAGTTTCCACTATTGCAGTCACTGTGTTCACGGTTATTCTGTTGTTAAGAGCTCTAGCAAATTAATATACTAATATATCAAAGCTAATTTTATGATTTACTGGAGAAAAAATCCTATCTGTACTGCACGTGTACAGATGTTTTTTCTCCCATTACCCCATGCACAATTATTTGTATGATGTTTACATCATGTTACATATCATTGGCAATCTAGAAACACTCTGAAGTACACAGGAGAGCACAGGCGTTTGGCACAGTGCTTAAGACACCTGCATGTGTGCTCGCAGGCCTGGGCTGCAGTCCTAGCTCTGCCTCTGACTCCAGCTTCCTGCTAATATGACCCGAGGAGTAGCAGGTTTTGGCTCAAATACATGTATCCCTGACACTCAGGACATCTAGACTGAGTTCCGGCTCTTGGCTTTGACCTGACGCAGACCTGGAAGATGTCTGCCTCTGTGTGTGTGCCTTCCTTTCAAGTAAAAGTAAATCAATGATGTACACAGGAGGATGAGACAAGTTACAGACAGTACTGTGCCAAGGGATTTGAATACACTACAGATTTTGTTATGCCAGGGGGATCTTGGAAGCAATCCTTCATGAGTTTTCCCGTACAACTGTGTTAGTTTATTTACTCATCCATTCAAATCATAGCTACTGAATTCTCTATGGAGATATATTGTACAACACTAATTGTGGTGGACTCAGAGTGTACTCGGGTACCCATTGCAGTTAAAACCTGGAAATCCCTACGCATAAGGTTATCCAACTAATTAAAAAGAAAAAAAAAAAAAACCTCAACATTTATTTAAGCCAATTTTTCAAATGTAAGCCTTAAATCTAAGCCAAATTCAAGCCTAATTTATTGGCAGCATTAGGGCCAATAAAGTAGTTCTAACTGTGAAGGTATGGCTACAAAGTTAAACACATTTACATATATACATTTAGTATATATTAGATATATCTATATTTTATTTTGTTTTTGTTTTTGATAAACGCTGAGCACACTGGAGAGCGCGTGGCTGGACCAGCACAGGACACCACTCCAGCCACAGCTGCCGTCCCCCCCAGGAGATGCTGCTGCTGCCCCAGAAGCCCAAGGAGAGCCATTTCCTGGACAGCAGCTTCTCCACGGCCAGCAGGTGCCCAGTGTGGGCCGCCTCCCGCAGCTCCTGCTCCTTCCCCATCCCCAGAGTCGCCACCCCTGGACCTGGCACTGCAGGACCACCAGGGCTCATCTCCCAAACTTTACATCTCCAGGCAACACATCCCCTGCCCCCCTATAGTTTATTTTAATAACATACCTCTGTTTAGGCTTCACAAAGTCTTTTTTTTTTTTTTAGAAATAGTCTTTAAGGGCCCAGCGGCGTGGCCTAGCGGCTAAAGTCCTCGTCTTGAATGCCCGGGATCCCATATGGGTGCTGGTTCTAATCCCAGCAGCTCCACTTCCCATCCAGCTCCCTGCTTGTGGCCTGGGAAAGCAGTCGAGGATGGCCCAAAGCCTTGGGACCCTGCACCCGTGTGGGAGACCTGGAAGAAGCTCTTGGCTCCTGGCTTCAGATTGGCATAGCATTGGCCATTGCGCTCACTTGGGGAGTGAATCATCGGACAGAAGATCTTCCTCTCTGTCTCTCCTCCTCTCTGTATATCTGACTTTCCAATAAGTAAATAAAATCTCTAAAAAAAAAAAAAAAGAAAAGAAATAGTCTAAAAATCGTAACATTGGACATGGCACAGCAGCCTAGTGGCTAAATCCTTGCCTTGTATCTACCAGGATTTCATGTGCCAGTTCATGTCCCAGCAGCCCCACTTCCCATCCAGCTCCCTGCCTATGGCCTAAGAAAGGAGCAGAGGACGACCCAAGACCTTGGATCCCTGCACCCGGATGGGAAACCTGGAAGAAGCTCCTGGCTTCGGATTGGCTCAGCTCTAGCCGTTGTGGTCACTTGGGGAGTGAACCTGCTGACACAAGATTTCTTTGTCTCAACCTTTTCTCCATCTATCTGCCTTTCCAATAAAAAATAAATAAATAAATCTAAAAAAATTGTAAGATGTTCATCATCTGTAACAGAACTAGAAAAAGCAGAAGCAAAATTTATCGTTATCTAAAGCATAAGTCTATTTACGCAGATGACACGCATGCTCACTACAGCAAAGCCAGAATAAAGTCAAGTCAGTAAAACATCCAACGGCCTAAACCTTTCAGAGAACAGGAAAAAAATTATAATGCTCTTTTCAATACTATTAGAGAGAAAATCCAAAATCATATCGCGTATTACCCCCTACATACGATAAGCTAATATATATTGTCACAACTACTTCTTTTGGTTATTCATTGAAATGCAATAACCTAGAACGCATTCTCTATGGATACTGTTGTATTGGACAGCAGTTTTAGTAAATTTATGTTGGAGGACCTGGAGAAGGATCCAATTTGGTTAACCACATCTTTTTTCTACTTCACTACCTAGTACACATTACAATCAGCACCTTTAAAAGAAGGTATAATATGGGCCCAGCACGATAACATAGCGACTAAATCCTCGCCTTGAATGCACCAAGATCCCATATGGATGCCGGTTCTAATCCAGGCAGCCCCTCTTCCCTTCCAGCTCCCTGCTTGTAGGCTGGGAAAGCAGTAGAGGACGGCCCAAAGCCTTGGGACCCTGCACCCGTGTGGGAGACCTGGAAGAAGCTCCTGGCTCCTGCCTTCAGACTGGCTCAGCACCAGCCACTGCACTCACTTGGGGAGTGAACGATCATAGGAACCATAAGAACCCACTTGGGGAGTGAACCATCATATGGGAGATCTTCCTGTCTCTCCAACTCTCTATATATCTGCCTTTCCAATAAAAATAAATAAATCTTTCAAAAAAAAAAAAGGTATAGCATTAACGTACTTGTCCTTCTAACATTTCTCTTGGCAGGCCTGTCCTTTCCTGTTCCGAGCTGTTAGTTCTTCGTATTGAAAGGCTGTGGGATTTGCGCTTCTGCTTTGCTTGGCGAGCAGTTGAACAACTCCCGCTTTCTGTGGGCATTACTTCCAGAAGGTTGAGTCCTTGTCACTCCTGCAATAAGCTAAACAACAGTAAGAAAAACAATTGTATTATACAGCAAACTGAAATTTTAAAAACAACAAGGAAATTATTGCTTTTCATTAAAATTTTCCTTACTATGGTGAACATTTATAACTTGGCATATGGCAAAGCACAATGTTTTCCAGTACACAGCATTGGGGCCTGTTCATTCCGTGGAGGTGGAAGAATAAATCTGCAACAATATAAACGTGCTAATCCTCCCCCCGCAGGGTCAGCATCCCATCTGGGCACCAGTTCTAGTCCTGGTTGTTCCACTTCCCATCCAGCTCCCTGCTTATGGCCTGGGAAAGCAGTGGAGGACAGCTCAAATCCCTGGACCCCTGCACCCGCAGGGAGACCCGGAAGAGGCTCCAGGCTCCTAGCTTGGGACTGATTAGACTCCGGCTGTTTCAGCCAGCAGGTATGAACCAGCGGATGAAAGATCTCTATCTGTCTGAGTCTCTCCTCTCCAGGAATATGCTTTTCAAACAAACAAAACAACAGAGTATATAGTCTTTGTTAAAGGAGATACTTTTTTTTAAAGATTTATTTGTTATTTTTATTGGAAAGGCAGATATACAGAGGTGGTCCCAATGGCTGGAGCTGAGCTGATCTGAAGTCAGGAGCCCGGATCCTCTTCTGGGTCTCCCATGCAGGTGCAGGGTCCCAAGCCTTTGGGCCGTCCTCGACTATTTTCCCAGGCCACAAGTAGGGAGCTGGATGGGAAGCAGGCCTGCCGGGATTAGAACCAGTGCCCACATGGGATCCAAGCGCATGCAATGGGAGGACTTTAGTCACTAACCTACCACACCAAGCCCAAAGGGGATAATTTTTTAAACCACATTTCATTAATGTTTTAAAAATCAAAAAGTAAAAGGCCCAGCACGATAGCCTAGCAGCTAAAGTCCTCACCTTGCATGTCCAGGATCCCATATGGGCACCAGCTCTAATTCCGGCAGCTCCATTTCCCATCCAGCTCCCTGCTTGTGGCCTGGGAAAACAGTTGAGGATGGCCCAAAGACTTGGGACCCTGCACCCACATGGGAGACCCAGAAGAGCTCCTGGCTTCAGACTGGTTCAGCTCCAGTTGTTGCAGCCACTTGGGGAGTGAATCATCAGATGGAAGATCTTCCTCTCTGTCTCTCCTCCTCTCTGTATATCTGACTTCCCAATAAAAAGAAATAAATATTTTAAAAAGAAAAAAAAAACAAGCAAGTAAAAGTTTAAAACAAAAAACAACTTTCTAACTTCCCCCAGGTTCCGGGTACTTCGTCAGAGAAAACCAATTCTAATTGTGTGTTCTAAACGAGAGTTCCCAGAATAACACATTCTAAGCGTAATATAATCTAGAGCCAAATATTAACTTCAAATTTTCTAGGGGACACATTTTAAAAAGTTAAATTACTTTCAGTGATTTAATTTAATCCAATGTCTAAAATATTTTATTAGTCAATATAAAAGTTATGGGACATTTTACATTGTTTTAATGATTATGTATTCAAAATTCAGTATTTTAATTTCATCGATCACAAAATCAAACTGCCACAAATGACTTATTTAAGCCTCTAAATAAATATGATTCACCCATTGCGTTAGGATTTTCTAATCATTCATGCAACTTAATCATTCCTCTCTCAATAAATTTCCATATTAATGAGCAATGTTTTAATATACTAACACATTACATCTTCCCTCTCCAATTACAGATTTATCTGTATGAACATTACCTGCTGATTTTTACTATCACTTCTCTTCCTCCAAGTACAGTCCCATTATCAAGTCAGCGCATGCAAATGCGGAGAAGTGTCGCGTGCCTCCCTGAACACAGAATGCATTTCTCCCAAATGCGATGTGAAGGCAGATACAGGGCAGGCACAGCTATGATCACCAAGAACTCAATACGCAGATATTCTCTTGATTTAAACAGGAAAACTGGCCCACACCCCAACATTACGAGGTTGGTTCTACTAAATAAATGTATTAACAGCATGGGAAAATACGCTGACCTTTACAATCATCATGGAGACCAAGTGGGAGTACCTAAATCTGACTTTATGCCTGCTTAGAAAGCCTGCCCCTAAAGGCGAGACCATCCCCTGACCCATCACAGTGCCTCTGTACTTCGTTACCAAATGCTTTACTCACTATCTTAAGATTAATAACATGATAAATAAAATTCCTTACTACTTGGCTGACTAAGAGGCACTGTGATGGTCAGGCCTGGAAGGAAACCAGTAACCCTCGGGGATTCCTTCAGCATCCACCCTGGACTGGAAACATGTCTGCTGATTCGCTCCCCAAGTGACCACAACAGCTGGAGCTGCACTGAACAAAAGTCAGGAGCCAGGAACCTCCTCTAGGCTTCCCACGCGGGTGCAGGGTCCCATGGCTTTGGGCTGTCGACTACTCTTCCAGGCCACAAGCAGGGAGCTGGACGGGAAGCAGGGCTGCTGGGATTAGAACCAGCTCTTATATGGGATCCCGGCACGTTCAAGGTAAGGACTTTTAGCCACTAGGCCAACTCACTGGGTCCACCAACACTCTTTCAAAATTAGTTCAGTGTCTTTTTCCTTCTAATCACTTTTTTTTTTTTGCTCTTCTTTGTCACAATTTATTTCTCAGGACTTTCTCTAATTTTACTTTGTTTCTGCATTCATATCCTTCATACTTCTCCCCAGCAGTCTATATTAGTACTATTACTATTTCCTTTTACACCACATCTTTTATAGTAAGTTTTTGGGGCTCAAGAACCGCATCTTAAGGCTGCAGGCACTACTGAACTCATATCATCTCATGTCATTATTACCATACAACATCTTCAAATGTTTGGTGAGATTTGCAGTTTGGTTTGGAAAGACAGGCCAGGAAGCTGCAGGTGTTTGTACGCGCGATCTTGCTGCATACAGGAGTTGCCACAGAGTACACACTGATGGATGCTGAAGCAAAACCAGTCACTGGGCAGTTGTAGCTATGACTGATGAACGATTAGTACCGCTGCTGCCAAGAGGAACAGCAAGGCTTGAATGGCTCAATAAAGTCACCAATCCTTACAACACCCCTAGGAAGCGAAGTTCCAGATCCAAGTAACAGCCTCCACAGACTTCACACAGCACTCCAGTAAGCTGATTATATGAAGGCACGTCGAAAAGTCCATGGAAAATGAAATTAAAGGGAAGTTTATTTTGGTATTAAAAAAATTTGCTGGGCCCAGCGCGATGGTGTAGTGGTTAAAGTCCTCGCCTTGTACACACTGGTATCCCATATGTGTGCCGGTTCTAGTCCCGGCAGCCCCGCTTCCTATTCAGCTCCCTGTCTGTGGCCTGAGAAAGCAGTCAAGGACAGCCCAAAGACTTGGGACCCTGCACCCACATGGGAGACCCAGAAGAGCTCCTGGCTCCTGGCTTCAGATTGGCTTGGCTCTAGCTGTTGCAGCTGCTTGGAGAGTGAACTATCAGATGGAAGATCTTCCTCTCTGTCTCTCCTCCTCTCTGTATATCCGCCTTTCTAATAAAAATAAATAAATCTTTTTAAAAATATATGCTGAGATCCTCAAAGAACATACAGAAAATGTCTTATTTAAAAGCTTTGAATGAATTTTTATTTTTTTGCAGCAAAATAAATATATTTTTTATAAATTTTCAAAGCATCCTCATAGAATTGTTATCTCAATCCAAATATGTGGACTGGACACTAAGACAGCAGTTGATTCAACGGAACCCATTAGCAGGCTGCCTGGGCTCAAGTCCCACCTCCACTCCCACTTACAGCTCCCTGATAACTCACGCACTGTGACAGCAAACAAGCCACATACCAAGTACATAACGGGCCCCACATGGAGTCTCAGCCTATCCCAGGCCAGGGTGTTGTGAAAATTTGGGGAGTAAACCAGTGACTAGAGAATCTGCCACAAATGCTTCCAACCTCTGAACCGGTCCAGGTTGAAGGCAAGAGTCTAGAATTCCCACACTAGTCACAGCCTCTAACCTGCTGCTGCCCTATGGAACACATCAGCAGGCAGCTGGATGGGAAGTCAGGCTCAAATCCAAGCATTCCAATGGGGCTGGCAGGCATCTCAAGCAACACCTGAGCTGTTGCCCCACAAACCCTGCTCCTCCTACGTGCTTGGCGCAGCCGGGGCCCTGGACAGCATGCACTTCAAGAATGTTTAACAAACTAACAAAACCCAGAAACATTCTTTGTCACAGCAAGTTCCACCTTTGCAAACGCTGTTATATAAATACCAAATACTTAGGTTTCTGCTCTGTGTTATTTTCCATATTAACTTCATTGAAACAAGGTAAGTTACCAGATTCTTTCACGTGAATGTGATTCAAGAAAGGCAAGTAATCAAAGTGCTTTTTAAAGATCATCAAAGTCACTTTCAAAAGAAACATTTTCATTTGAAATAATAAACATAAACCCTGCAAAGAAACAATGAGATTTTACTTTTTTTATGAAGCAAAAATGCTTGCTAACATGGTAGATCGTACACAGAACAATTAAGGATATAACTTCCGTGTGCCTTTAAAAAAATATGTGACTGAACTGTCTAGAGTTTGGCGAGTATTTCACTAACACTGTATTCTGACGCAATGTTAAGTGAATTCCTGGCAATCTGAAACACCAACCACAGACTTTCAATCCAGCAGCAAAGGAGAGAAAGGTCTCCAGAGGCAATGTCAAAAATCTATCAACAACATTAACCCGCTCACAGTACTGTGCCAGTGAAATGAAAGCAAGAACACATGTTCATCAATTTTGTGAATCAACATAAACTGGGGACATCACTAACTGCATAAACAAAGAGCCAGGTTTCTTAAAGATCCCAACAGTCATAAGAAACAGCTCAAACAAGGATGAAATTTAATAAACCGCAACCACCTTCTTAGAAAACATGAGGCAGGAATCACCTCAGGAAAAAAAAAAAACAAAAACAAAAAAACCACAAGATTCTACAACACAAGCACAAAACAACAATCTGAGGACATACTATGCTGGGGAAAAAAAATTACTAAACGGTTGAGAGAAAATGAAGCATTCCTAATAAAAATCTCCTGTGACCAGCACTTCACCAGAACGCTTACCATGTATCCAAATAACAAAATGAGACTTACAGGCCACTGCAGGCCACAGGGACCCCACAGTGGGAGGGGAGTCACTGCCTCCCCGTGAGCAGTGTTATTAGCAAGAAGACAAGGGACTCAGGGTACCACTGACTTACTCCTTAGTCAGCATGTCCTTATCTGGATACTCTTTTTCAAATCTGTGCATCACAACCTAGAGGGAATCAGGCAGCACTTGAATTTGCGACAGTAACAAAAACAAGGAAGAGTGAGGCGGAAGAGAACTGACGAGGAGTTTCTGGGTGTAACACTCCGTCATCTGTTGGGAAGCACCGGCTCATTCTCGCAATCACCCTCACGGCCCCAAACAGGCTGAGCTCAAAGCCAGATCCACCTGACCTTCGTCCATGACTCTCGGAATTAGCACCTCTAGAAACGGTCCCAGCGTCTAACGGACCTGGCTAAGCCCTCGGCGAAGAGTCTTACGGATCACACCTTTCACTCTCCCGGCCGACTCGTGCCCACACCACTTTGTGGATAGGAGGGACGGGCATTCCAGAGCCCTGTCGCCGCCAAGGGGTCCCTAACGTGGCCCCCCAGCTCGGCCTCCCCGCGATGCCAACTCAACGAAGGAAACTCGACTTTCGGAAGGCGAGTTTATCAACTCCCCGGCAGACAGGCCCGGCCGACGCCTCGTCCACGAGTGGACACAACAAGGCCCAGGTCCCCCGCGAAAAGCCTCCCGGAGCGCTGTCCCTCCTCCCCCGGCCCCCGGGAAGACAGAGAAACAGAGACAGGGAAGCAGGGACCCCGACCCTGGTCCGCCCGTGTCCCCGAGCGCGCCATGCCCCGCTCCTTGTCCATGCCAGCGTCCACCTCGTCCACCTCGCCCCGTCTCCTCCCCCGGGCATCGCGGATAGCGGGAAGATGGCGGGACCCACCTACCGCGAACGCCGCGCTCTCCTGCACCCGGAGCCCGGCCGGGATGCGCCTCAGCTGGTCGGTGCCCGCCGCCTCGCCCCCCAAACCCAACACACACCCCAAACCCACCACACCGAGGACACCGAGCCACTCGGCGCTGACGCGACCCCGCGACCCCGGCTGGGCGCCACCGCGCTTCCGCTGCCATCGGAAGTCCCGCCCCGAGCTGGCGGAAGCCCCGCCCCGTAGCGGAAGCCGTAGCCGGAAGCCGCCGGCGAGGCGAACAGCGCCTTCCTGCTTTCCTGTCCTGTGGCCAGCTGGCCAGCGAGGCCGGGGAGCGCCGGGCAGTTCCGGACCTCCCCGCGGTGCTGGCTCTCGGTCGCCGCTGACCGCTGGAGGCAGCGGGCCCGGCTCCACCTGGTGGTGCCGGCAGGGCGCGTCCCTGTAGGAGTCGGGAGAAAAGCCGGGGCGCAGCCCCCGCCGGACCCCCTGTGTCCACCTCGTCCACCTCAGGGGTCGTTCCGCGAAGGCACAGCCTTCCCGGGAGCCCAGAGCATTTGTAACATGCGGGCGGGTGGGGGGACGCGCACTCGGGACCCCTCAGGACCTCGCATCTACTCACCGCTGCAGGGATCCAGGTCAAGTGGGTTGTAAGTCCATCTGCCCCTGTACCAGTTCTCCGGAGCCTGAGACTTGACCCTTAAAATGCAAGCTCAAAGGCACCTCTCCAGTCCAAACCGCTGGTTTTGCAGAGCTCCGTGGGAGTCTGGGTTTGGGCTGCACGGACAATCCGATAAAGATAGAACTATTAATATTTCAGCGTCCCTGCAGAAGATGACTCACCCCGTTTGCTTCTGAAATGTTTGATCACCATTGGCTAAAAAGAGAAAACACAATCAGCTGTTCTCGGCGAAAGGTGGGACTTGAACTGCGGGGTTTTTTTTTTTTTTTTTTTCCGCCTTTAATCTAGGCTAGGAAAACTACATAATAGACTGGAACCATTACGTAAACAGTCCCCTGGCCTTACCCCAACAGCACCAGTCGGGCTTTTTAGCTCAGCTAGACTACATTAATAACCAGGAAAGCATTTGTTTTTCTTCTCTGTAGGTCGAGACTCTTGCTGCCCCCTTTAAAAATAAAGATTGATACTCAAGAAGCAGCAATAAGGAAATAATGTGTTGCACGGGGAAGAAACGTGCTGTATGTAGGGATCCAAATGTTTGAAACATGTACAAGTTATTTCTGCAGTAGATTGATAAGGTGTTACTGCTGGACACGGTTGTGTAAGATGAACTCTTCCGATGTCACATTTCAGGCTTGGTGGTTGTGGCACAATCAAGTAACAACTCTGATTAGCAACTGTTACAGCCCAGGACATTTCCTCTGGACATGATCGCAGAAAGAAAGCTTTGTGAACCCCCGACTTTCCATCCTGATAAATGGGTAGTTTTTGACAGCATAGTACCCACAGTTCAACTGGTAGGATATTAAAGACCTGTTTTCTTTGATATATTTAGGATTACATAGAAGTCACTGAAATCAACTGAGTATATCATGAGATGTGACAAATCCAGCGGGGGGGGGGGGGCGGGAATCATCCCTTTGGGTACCAGTCACTTTGCGTTATCATATAACAGACCAACGATTAAAACGCAGGCTGTTCTGAAAACAAAAACAATGCAGGCTGACACCAAAACGCCTGTTCTTCCCACTGTACATTGGTTTGGTGGAACTGCAATAACAAAACACCTCGTGCTGTGTTTTACATAGCTGTCCTGAGGGCTGGAAGCCATGTCTGAGGGTCAGGCAGGATACGACCCATGCTGCCCACCCGCTGGGGTTGACCATCCGTCTCTGCCCAGCGTGCAGCAGTATAACCAGCCTTCACACACTCTTCCTGGGTGCAGTCGCTTCACTTGACATCTTTAATTTTTTATCCATTTGAAGGGCAGAGATCTTCCATCTGCAGTTTTCACTCTGCAAATAACAAGTTATTTTTGTTACTAGGACCTCCCATTCCATTTTTATTTAAAGATTTATTTATTTGTTTATTAGAAAGATACACAGAGGGCTCGGCGCGGTGGCGCAAGTGGTTAAAGAAAGATACACAGAGAAGGAGAGACAGAGAGGAAGATCTTCTGTCTGTTGATTCACCAAGTGACCACAACGCCGCAGCTGTACCAATCTGGAGCCCAGAGCCTCTTCCAGGTCTCCCACGCAGCTGCAGGGTCCCAAGGCTTTGGGCCATCCTTGACTGCTTTCCCAGGCCACAAGCAGGGAGCTGGATTAGAATCGGCACCCATATGGGATCCCAGTTGTGCAAGACGGAAGACTTTAGCTGCTAGGCTACTGTGCCGGGTCTGCTACCCACCCCATTTTTAAAGAACTGGGAGTAAGGATTGCAGCTTACGACTTGTGTCTGTAGCGGGAAGAATGAAGAGGAGATTAATTTAGTCCTTAACACTGTCCTGAAATAATTGCCCTTTTTTTAAGATGCAAAACCAGATTCAATTATAAAGCTATGATTGCATTCCTGGTAGAGGTTTGCATGTTCCCTCCTGCAGAAGCTGAGGCTCTTTATCTTCCCTGAGAACAAACACTTGTCCCAAGTGCCTCCCTGCTGCACACATTTGCCTCATCCCATTCAGTGAGGAAACGAGATGACTTAGTAAAATCCAGCTATGATCATGTTTCTGCTGACACTCCACAAATGGTCGCAAGGGCCAGAGTTGAGATGATCCAAAGCCAGGAGCTCGTCCATGTCTTCCACACAGGCACAGGAGTCAGGGACCTGTGGGCCATCCTCCACTGCCCTACCAGGTCATAAGCAGAGAATTAGATCAGGAGTGGGACAGCCAGAACATGAACCAACACCCATATGGATGCCAGTACTTGCAGGTGGAGGATTAGTTCATTAAGCTACTGCCTCATTGAACTTATCACTAATCATTTTACTTGTGCTACAAACAACTGGGTATTTAATCAACTCCATATTTGTGAGTGGTTCTGCATCCTTGGTTTCAGCCAACTATGGATCAAAACTTTTCCTTTATACTGACCCTATACAGATTTTGTTTCTTATCATTAGTCCCTAAACAATAGAGTGTAACAACCATAAATAGCATTCATGGTGTATGGGCTACAAAAAGATTGTGCAAAATGGAATCAAACATAAGCTTGGGCCCGGCACAATAGCGTGATGGCTAAAGTCCTCACCTTGAATGTGCCAGGATCCCGTAAGGACGCAGGTTCTAATCCCAGCAGCGCCGCTTCCCATCCAGCGAGGACCTTAACCACTGCACCAGGCCCATATTTTTTTAATATTTGAAAGGCAGCGTTACAGTGAGAGCAGAGAGACCTTCTAAGTGTTACTCCTTTTATCTACCAAATTTATTTAGCTCTTCTCAAGAGGACTAAGAAAAACCACTATCCTCTAGACGTGAATGCAATCACCTGAGCAACCCCTCCAGCTTTTCCCCAACTCATGGCCATTCTCACTTCACTAGAGTTCATTAAAATTTGTAAGAGCTAAAGAGACTCATCCACTCCTTTGAAATAGGCTAAAAAAATAAAATAAAATAAAATAAAATAAAATAAAAAAGCCCTTTCGGGCCCGGCACGATGGCACAGTGGTTAAGGTCCTCACCTTGAACGCCTGGGATCCCATATGGGCGCCGGTTCTAATCCAGGCAGCCCCTCTTCCCATCCAGCTCCCTGCCTGTGGCCTGGGAAAGCCGTTGAGGACGGCCCAGGGCTTTGGGACCCTGCACCCGTGTGGGAGAACCAGAAGAGGCTCCTGGCTTCAGATTGGCTCAGATCCGGCCGTTGTGGCCGTATGGGGAGTGAATCATGGGACGGAAGATCTTCCTCTCTGTCTCTCCTCTCTGTATATCCGCCTTTCCAATAAAAATAAATAAATCTTTTTTAAAAAACCCCTTTCAATATTATATCCATAGTTTAAGAAAACTATGGTCTGCGAAAGCAGACGAGGACAGCCCAAAGCTTTGGGACCCTGCACCTGTGTGGGAGACCCGGAAGAAGTTCCTGGCTCCTGGCTTCGGATCGGCATAGCATTGGGCATTGGGGAGTGAATCATCGGATGGAAGATCTTCCTCTTTGTCTCTCCTCCTCTCTGTATATCTGACTTTCCAATAAATAAATAAATCTTAAAAAAAAAGAAAGAAAACGAGCATTTTTGTTTGAAATAGTTGGAAAACACACCAAGGAAAAGAAATGAAACATAAAATGAACTTTGAGGGTCAGATATAGTGGCTGATAGAAAAATCGATGGAGAAAGGAGTAAAACATTTCAGACAGAAATAAGAAAAGAAAAAAGAGCACAAAAGGGAACAGAAAGATAAGATACGTTTGGGAAAAAGTGGGAGCAAGAAAACCAGCTGAACTAGTAAGAGCAGAAATTTTGCAACAGCATAGAAAAAAAAAAAAATTACCAGGGATTTGTTCTACTTTCCTGAGAATTAAAGCACACAGAAAAAGCAACAGGCTGAAGGGTACCCTCCCATTGCTCGCTCAGACATTTTGTTTATTCATTTTTCTTTTTTTTAGTTTTGAAAACTTTATCACAAGTTGACAGACACATTAGGTTTAAATGCTGTAATATATATAGATAGATAGATAGATAGTTTTCTTTATCCTGACATCTTGCACCTGTCCTACAAATGAAGCATTTTCATCAATCCAAGATACATTTTTGGTCATTATCTCTAAAATCAGGGCTTTATCCCAACATTGCATGAAATTCTGCTTGGAATCTTCTGTCCAGATGTAGCTCCTTGACAACAGCTGTTCTTGCTTAGTCAGGTTTATAGATAAATACCTAGCAAGGCAATCCCTCTACTTAAGGAAAATGAGGCCCAAAGGAAAGCTTATCAGAACACACCTGCACGACTGCTAACCAGTGTTATTTAAGCCACTTCTAATGAGGTTATGTAAACTTGTCATGTAGCAATGGGAAATTAGTAAACTTCGAAGATTATAAAGTGCATTTTTTTTTTTTTTTTTTACTATTTGAGTTACACAGAACACACATGAAGAAAAAGAGAGAAAGCCTACTTACTTTCTAAGACTTTCGTAGAATGGCATTATTCTGCTCAGGAGAGCAGCTCCCTCCTGATGTAAACACTTCCCAGTAGGCCCCATCTCCCACCACTGTGGCCCTGGGGATTCAATTTCCAATACAAGAATGTGGGGCAATGCATTCAGATCTTGGACATGATGTTTGACACTGTGTGATGTTTTGTAATACAGCATAGGGCTTCGCATTACAAAGCATTTTTAAAATTTTAAATACTTTTTAAAAATTATTTATTCTTACTAGAGAGGCAGATCAGATTTATGGAGAGGAGAGACACAGAGAAAGATCTTGCATCCACTGATTCACTCCCAAGATGGAGAGAAAAGCTGAAGCTGAGCTGATCCTAATCCAGGAGCTTCTTCCAAGTCACCCACATGGATTCAGGTCCCAAGGCTTTGGGCCATCCTCTGACTGCTTTCCCAGGTCATAAGCAGACAGCTGCATGGGACGTGGAGCAGCTGGGATACAAACTAGTGCCCATATGGGATCCCGGCATTTGCAAATTGACGATTTCGCCACTGAACCATTGTGTGAGGCACAATACGGTGGTTTTAAATAAGTATTTCAAAAATGGTTTTTCTTTTATACAGAACAGGATTTGACTTCTCCAAACACATACTGATATTTAAAGCTCCATTTTTTTTTATTCTTATATTTTCACTGGAAAGGCAGATATCCACAGAGAGGAGAGACCAAGATGTTCCAACCGCTGGGTCACTTCCTTAGTGGCCACAACAGCTGGCACTTAGCTGATCCAAAGCCAAGAGCCAGGAGCTTCCCCTATGCCTCCCATAGGGGTGCAGGATCCCAAGGGCTTGGATCATCCTCCACTGCTTTCCCAGGCCACAAGCAGGGTGCTAGATGGAAAATAAAAGCAGCAGGGGCATAAACTGACATCCAGATGGGATCCTGGTACTTGGATGTGGAGGATTAGTCTGTTGAGATACTGTGCCACACTGTAAACTAAGTTGTATAGAGGGCACTATGGTTAATATTAATGGTTAATGCTGCAGGCAGTTTGTAAAGAAAATAGTGTGACTTGAACTGGAATCTTGAGTTCACAGACTGCTGGAGCAAAGACCGAGGTTGAATTCTATAGGCAATGATTTGCTAGTAGACAAAAACCCAACACCAATGCCGAGGCCTGTGGGTGAGGATCTGCAGCTGGGCAATGATCTAAGGCCACAGGACTGTGCGTTAGAATATACTTGAGTCACATACTGACTTCTGTACATGGGTCACAGTGTTGCTGCCTGTTCATCAAGCGTTGGCTGGTTATCAATATGGAACATAGTTATCAATGTCTGTGCCGCATTGATTTCTGTAATTTGGTTCCCCAAGCAGTTCAATAAAAAGTTTGAGGCAGCAAAGCCTTTTAGGCCAACCTCCTTCTTCAGAGAAGGGTGTTTCCATAGTCTTTACTTTGTATCTTTCTCCTTTTAAAAAAGTTCTCAATAGCACATCACCCCCTCTCCAACCCTGTTCTTGTTACTGTTCTGGTCGCAATAGTTAGTGGATCAAAGCTGGAGGTTTCATCCAATCCCTTATATTGTCTGAGACATGAACCTAGTGGGAGTTCATAAGGGCTTGCCCTCAGAAGCTAGCTCTCATGAGAAGGCTGGTTATGGAGACTGAACTCGCTTCCTGACTCAATACAGGACTGTCCCTCTGCCATCTGCAAGTCTTACCAGATGCCAAGCCAATGGTGAATGTAAACTTGTTGGAGACCAGCTCCAGCTGAGTTCGGAGGGAAGAGAAGACAGGCAGAGACTTGGACCACTACAGCGTGATGCTCATAATGGACAACTCAAAAAAGCTGTCTTCTTTATTTACACAGAAATCATTACAAGCTTTTGCACAACATCCAATTGTTTCATTTTTACTTCATGGTTACAAAAACAATTCTTAAAAAAATCATTATTATTTTACTTCAAAGAAAACATTTTCAGCAAACCATTACTCATTCAAACCTGCAGTCACCAGGTGCCTGAAGCCAAGACCTGCACGGTTGGCAGCATATGCAGTTACATAGTGACAAGTGGTTCACTTATATCCAAAATCAGTTTTCACTAGATCTAAACAAATATTACTTAAAATATCAAGACTACAGAATTAAAAAGAAAGCTCATAAATGAATTTGTAAAGGCATATATCATATTCTTTATTAAATCTTATAATCAATCATATACTAATTACCATCACCTTCACCTAGTACTGATTCAATTGTTTTTGTTCTTTTGTTAAAGGGCAGTGAAAAGGATCAGGGCAACTCAGCCTTTCTATGAACAGAGGACCTTTACAAGAAACTTCTTTTTATCTTTTTAAACTGTTTTCTTTCCCTAAATGTAAGTGTCAATATAAGGTAGAAGTTTTAAATCATTTTTCTTTGGGGGTTCACATTTGTCTCCCTTTAGAAGATGCCCCATATACTTTCTGCTTGCCATTGTGAGAAACCAAAATGCGTCTTTTCATGTGTTGCAACAGTTCGAGGCTGCACGGTGAACAAACTTGTTGTACCTCCACGACTGTCATCTATTCCAACATATTATGAAACCATTTCTTAAGTAAAACATTACCTACATTAGGACAAACTCCGGGACAAAGGCAGCCACATAACAAGATGTTTGGGGACAAGGTGGGCTCAATTGTACTATTGTATGCTTTTAGCTGTGTGTCATTGCCTTAAGTTGCTAAAGACCCTTTTACCATAACATGATTGATCAGTTTGAGGTGTTATACCAGTTACAGGAATCATTTCACATTTGCAGAAAAAAACAACATCTTCAGGAGAATTCTATGAAACATCAGAGAAGTGATCGAGTGTCCACACAATGGGGTGAGGCAGCAATACGGTGCCCAGAGACGTTCTGCCGGGCCTTGCCAGCAGAAACTCCTGGTGCCGGGTCACACCCTCACTCCACCTGTCACGACTGCATGGCTTCCCGCATAAACTGAAATACACCTTCCTTCCTTTCGCAGAAGCTCCTTTCCCACACTTAATTTTGCTTTCTCCTCACCACTCTTTGGAAGGACGGCCAGACAGCGGTCCGGCTTCACCCTCTTTAAGCCCTGACCAGCAGGACTCCCTCCACTACACTACACCAAGAGGTATGTCGTCCACACCCGGACTCCAGGCTCCCGACGCCTGACGTCAGCACGTAGTCTCCGCAGCGCCTTGGCCACGCCCAGGCCGCCGCTCAGGCCCGATTGGCTACCAGAGCAGGAGCCAGAGCGCGATTGGCCCACACCCGGAGAACGGCTGCTCGTCCGCTCCCCGCCCTCAGTCGCCGGTCTTCACCTCAGCGGAGCCAGGGGGTAAGCGGATGACCAGTCATGGTTAACAGCTAATGGCTGGCGACCCAGAGTCTCGCCGCGTGCCTAGGGCTCCAGCACACCTGCTAGAGCCCGAGTTCTAGAAAGTGGTGCCACCGCGCGACTGCCTGGCGCGACCGTGACGCCCGTTGGGCGTCAGCGCCGATTGGCTGGCAGTATGTGGCGTGGCCCGGCGCTGGCGCGGGCGATTGGCTCCCTTCTCAAGGGGCGGAGCCTGGGGGCGGTACGCTGCGCGAGCGGCGCTCAAATGGGGCGCGCGCCCCAGCGTCCCCGGACCCTCAGCTTAAGGTACGGGTATGTCCAGATGCGGGGCGGCCCGGGGCGAGCCGGCGGGGCTGGGGACTGGGGAACCGGGTGGACTGAGCGACCGGAGGACTGGGGCCGAGGGGAGCCGCCGGGGCAGGGGATTGGGGGACCGAGGGACTGGGGTACTGGGGCCAAGGGGAACTGGCGGGGCCGAGGGTTCGGGGGACTGGGGCCGAGATGAGCCGGCGGAGCTAGGGACTAGGAGCCTTGGGGGTCCGGGGCACTGGGGCCGGCGGGGCACAGGCGCCTGGCATTGGGGCGGACACCCCCGCAGCACTTCTGCCCTGGGTGGCTGGTACTGCCGGCTGGTGAGGCCAGTGGCCCGCTCTGGGACGCCCGGGTCTGGAGGGGAGGTTCGGTCCCCCACGGGGTAGTGGATGTGCGGGGTCCTCTGCAGGGCTTCTGCGGAGCTAGGGAGGGCTTGTCAGGAAGTGTGAGGACTAGGGATTAAGGAAGGTGCACCTTCAGAAAGGATACTGAGGTCGTGATAGGGATTCCCTTGGTTTTTCTCCTAGGATGTGTGTAGGTTAGTTCTCCAAGTTGGGTGAGAAGGCTTGGGGGCGGGGGAGGGGGGTTTGGTGGTTGCTAAAACTCCACGTGCCTTTTAAAAAGGTTTTGGGGCCTGAGTCTGCAGCAGTTGGGAAGTCAGACATTTGTAACTTTTAGGTATTTTAAGACTTTACAGTTTTCCCCCAGTGACTTAAGCAGTGGAAAGAGCCATCGTCTACAAATACAGACAGTTGAACTTTAGTAAAATGTGGAACCTGAAATCAAGTCTCAGAAGAGTAGGGAATTGTTCACTCCTGTCTTTATAGTTGGTTAAAAACAAGCGTGGACAACATATCGTGTATCCTGAAACCTGTGCATGCAGTGTACAAGAACATACAGATCACTCATGCTCACACGTACCAGGGTGCATACCACTTTGTCCGTGTATGAAAATGGTTGCAAAATTCTAGAGACTACTGCAAGTCAGGGAAGAGGAAGAGGTGGGGACCATCACAGCCAGGCCTTTTTCTCAGGCTGTATGGAGTGTTCCTGCGTCCTCTGCAGAATTACCATCATGACATGAATGTAAAAAAAAGTGACTGCTTTGTCTTGTAGTTAGGAATTTCAGACTTAAAGAGCAGTGCAACATAAAACCATTGTGTTCAAAAGCCTGTTAACTGTTAGGATGAAAAGTTGTAGATGCAGCTTTGTAAAATGAGGCTCATTCAGAGGTGGGCTTTTCCCTTCCACAGTGTTTTTTTCCTGTTGAAATCTTTTATTTATTTATTTACTTTTAAAATACATTTTGGAAAGGCAGGTTCTGTAGAGAGAAGAGATGAAGAGAAAGGTCTTCCATCCGTTGTCACTCCCCACGTGGCCACAATGGCCAGAGCTGAGCTGGTCTGAAGCCAGGAGCCAAGAACTTCTTCCAGGTCTCCCACGCGGGTGCAGGGTCCCAAGGCTTTGGGCCATCCTGAACTGCTTTCCCAGGCCACAGGCAGGGAGCTGGATGGAAAGTGGAACAGCTGGGGCACAAACCAGCACCCACATAGGATCCTGGTGCTTGCAAGGCGAGGATTTAGACACTGAACCATCATGTCAGGCCTGAAATCTTTGATCATGAATCTTGGTTTTGGTGTTAAACATCATTATTTTGGTTCTTGCCGTCATCCATTGCTCCTGACACCTCTCCCTCTCGGTCAAGGCATAGCCACCCCAGGTCCTGTTGGAGTTTAGAACTTACTTTTAAGGAGCTGTTGCTGTGCTTTGGTACTGAACACTTTGTGTATGTCCTATAGTATGTTCGAGCTCTGTTGAAAATCAGTAATCTGATGCTGTAAAGAAAGCCGTGTACAAAGTGAAACAGAATCTTCTAGCTGAAGCGTTTGGAAAAATGGGTCAAAAGATGCTCCCAAGAATCCAGAAGTTAAAGTGATAGGAGTTACTAATTAGGGATGTGCAAAGAGTATAAGTCAGGATATATAGAATTTTAGTGTAGAAACCACATGAGAGGAATTAATTAGGATTCAGAAAATTAAGCCTTAGAACTGTAGGGTAGGAATGGACTGTGGCCTAGGACCAAATGTGGCCTGTATTGTGAGAACTTTAAAATATTACTTCTTTCATTTTATATAATTCTTCTCTCATTCTGCCACTCACTAGCTCTCTCTTGCTCTCATTCTTTCTCTCTTTCCCTCTCTCGTAGAGAGATCATCCCGATCTTTTATCCAGGATCTACTCCAGGTGCTTAGAACAAGCTGGGGCTGGGCCAGGTCAGATTTCAGACCCCATACTGCTTGGGGGTCTTTCCTGGACGGCAGGGCAGCGAGCACTAGGCCGGCCTCTGCTGCCTCACTGCATGCGTTAGCAGGAAGCCGGGGAACACATACCCCGATCCAGCACTCCGGTCTAGAATGCGGGAGTCCACAGTGCTAACTTCAGCCAGTCTTCCAAATGCTCACTCCAGATGTTTCCAGTTTTAGATGATTGAGAGTGACACTGAAAGTAAACAGGCTGTACCATACAAAAACTAAATGAAATTCAGATTTCTGTATCTGTGAATAAATGTTTCCTAGGACACAGCCATGCTTACTTTACACTTTGCATATGGTTACTTTAGTGCTTGGAAGACAGAAATGGAACCTTCTAGACCTCTATAGAAAATAAGTTGCAGAGCTGTGCTCCAAAACTTTATTTTCTCCGGTTTATCTAGAGTCATATTAACCAGGAATGAGACTTGAGACAACTGACAGAGCAGTCACTTAAGTCATGTTTGTCATGAAGATCCCAGATGAAAAAAGCGCATGAAATCTTCCTGGGACATTTGTTAAATGCTGTTGAATGTTGAGCACATGAATTGGATCTTGAAAAACGGATTTCAGAAATAATGGCCTTCTTGCACACCTACACAGACAGAAGTAGAGGATAAATGTTTGGACTGGCTGTGGAACGGCACAATAGTACAGAAGTTTGTGGAAAAATTGGGACTAGATTATAGGGCCCATACCCGCCTAAGCAATGAAAATATAGACTGAGAAAAGTTGATTAGTAAGTGCTATAGAAGGTTTCTAGGCTCAAGAATTTAGAACATAGAATCAGAAGCCCAGTGGCTAAGTCCTCACCTTGCATGTGCCTTGGATCCCATTTGGGCACCAATTCATATGGCGGCTGCTACACTGCCCATCTACTTTGCTTGTGGCCTGGGAAACAGTAGAGACTGACCCACAGCCCTGGGACCCTGCACCCACTTGGGAGGCCGGGACAAAGTTCTGGGTACGGACCAGTGCAGCTCTGGCCATTGCAGCCACTTGGGGAGTGAACCAGTGGGCAGACAGTCTCTTTCTGCCTCTCCTCCTCTGTAAATCTGCCTTTCCAATAAAAACAAATCTTAAGAAAAATACATTTAGAACATTGAATTTATTAGTTGAGAGTGACTGGGATCCAGCATGATAGCTCAATGGCTAAATCCTCACCTTGTAAAAACTGGGATCTCGTATGGGTGCCACTATGTACCCCAGTTGCTCCACTTCCCATCCTGCCCCATGCTTATGACTTGGGAAAACAGTATAGGACAGCCCAAAGCCTTGGGACCTGGGACCCTGCACCCATGTGGGAGACCGCAAAGAAGCTCCTAACTCGTGGCTTTGGATCAGCACTGGCCACGGTGGCTATTTGGGGAGTGACGCAGTGGATGAAAGATCTTTCTCTCCTCTCTGTAAATCTGATCTGCCTTTCCAATAAAAATAACTGCATCTTTAAAAAAAAAAAAAACAACCAGTGTATAAAAAAGAAAATGAGTGACTGGTCGGAAGAGAAGCTGTGATTACCTGTCAGTAGGAGAAATGTGGAGTGCCTGACGGGTGAGCGGTGTTCCTGCAGGAATGCAGTAGGATGAAGAGTGTGCAGTTGCCATAGGAGCGTTAGGCATCCTTCATGACCTTTCAGACAGCGGCATCGTTTCCTGGACTCAGTTCCTGCATTTGCATTTCCAGTGTATATCTGACACCTCTCCTCTTTCCTTTTGATATTAGTACTCTAGGCCAAATCAGATATACTGCAACGATGCCTGAAATACGTACTGACCATCTTGATGAGCAGCAAGTCCAGCTTTTGGCGGAGATGTGTATTCTGATTGATGAAAATGACAACAAAATTGGGGCTGAGACCAAGAAGAACTGCCACCTGAATGAAAACATTGAGAAAGGTATTGTTTTAAAATAATCTTTGTGGGAAAGTGATTTGCCTAGGCATTTGGAATTAGCTGAGAAACACGCTCTAGTAAAAGAGAAAGTCATTCCTAAATATTTAATCTTGGTTACAACTAGTTAAACAGAGTGGTAATAAAACCCAGCTTGCCCCCTGTGTAGTAGCTGTTCCTTTGTGCCTCATGTCTTTTGTTCAACTTGTTCAATTATTTTGCTTTTGTAAGAGAGACTGGGCTGATCCTGACATATTAGCTGTTTTAAGCCTGTGTGTTTTTCTGATGAATGGGGAAAGAATAGATATCCCCCACAGAGATATGCCTTTGCACAGTCCCGGGACTGAAGACTGACTGGACAGGGGCTCAGTCTTGAAAGGGGATGTGGCAGGATCACCATGCCTTCCACTTGGCTGCCCTACTCTGCTGTGCCAAAGTGCTTCTCCAGAGCCATGCTGATACCCAGATAGAGTAAAAAGACAGTGACGGTGTTAATTTGAACCACAAGGGGAGCAAGGGGCAAATGACTGGCATTTGTGATAAAATTGATCATGCTGCTTTTGTTGTCAGGATTATTGCATCGCGCATTTAGTGTCTTCTTGTTCAATACTGAAAATAAGCTCCTACTGCAGCAGCGATCAGACGCTAAAATTACCTTTCCAGGTCAGTATGCTTAATGTACACTGGCGCTTGTGTTGGGAACTATATTGATTTTGAGTTTTTATTACTCTGAATTTCCTGGAGCAAATGTCAAAAAGAAACTTTTTAAATGATCCAACTTTGTGTAAGTTTGTGTAATGAGTACAACCAGATAAACCAAAGAGAAGAAAGGATACTATAAAATATATGATTATGTAAGTATTGTGGCACTGGAGCTCCAAAATACATGAATGGTTAAACAACAAGAGTGTATGCATGTACTCCTTTGTATGTTTTTTTTAAAGATTTATTTATTGGAAAGGCAGATATACAGAGAGGAGGAGAGATGGAGAGGAAGATCTTCGGTCCAGTGGTTCACTCCCCAAGTGAGTGCAATGGCTGAAGCTGAACCAATCCGAAGCCAGGAGCTGGGAGCTTCTTCCAGGTCTCCCATGCAGGTGCAGGGTCCCAAGGCTTTGGGCCATCCTTGACTACTTTCCCAGGCCACAAGCATGGAGCTGGATGGGAAGTGGAGCTGCCGGGGTAGAACCGGCAACCATATGGGATCCCGGCGCGTGCAGGGCGAGGACCTTAACCACTATGCTATTGTGCCGGGCCCCGCATTTGTGTTTTTGCAATCAGTATCTTCATACATTCTGATCTTTTTGGCCAAGTATTCATTTAGTAAAGAGCTTACTTTAGGGGCTGGCGTCCTCTGCCTCCAAGTGCCAGCATGCACTGGTTCATGTCCCAGCTGCTCTGTTTCCTACCCTGCTCCCTTCTTATGAACTGGGAAAGCAGCAAAGAATGTTCCCAAACTTTGGGCCTTGTACCCACCTGGGAGACCCAGAGGAAGTTCCTGGCTCCTGACTATCCGTAGCTGCCTTTTGGTAGTGAACCAGTGGATGGAAGATCTTTATATTTCTGTCCCTCCTTTTCACTGTAAATCTGCCTTTCAAATAAAAATGTTTAAAAAGGTCCAATTGTTTATTTTCAAAATAATTATTGACTTAAAAACCCTAAAATATTCTGTGTTTTTAGGAGTTTTTCTCAGTCTTTGAGACCTACTTTGAGTAAAAGCTCATCTCTACTCATATTTTCCAGGTTGCTTTACCAATACGTGTTGTAGTCATCCATTAAGTAATCCACGCGAACTAGAAGAAAATGATGCCATTGGAGTGAGAAGAGCGGCGCAGAGGCGTTTAAAGGCTGAGTTAGGAATTCCCATGGAAGAGGTAACTATTATTGCATGTCAAACAGGCTAAGTATACAATAACATATTTTTTCAACAATTTTTTTAAGTGTAAGTGTAGGTGTGTCTGCTTTGTTCCAGAAGCCACTGCCATAAAGGAGTTTTGTTTTAATTTTTACTGTTACTCTCTTCCGCAAATTCCTTCACCTGCCAGGGTTGGGTTGGGCTAATGCCGGAGTTGGGAGCCAGATCCAGGTCTCCCTTCCTGGTTGGTAGGAGTCTTCATTAGGAATTCCAACATGGAATGGGGGCTGCTCAACCTGCACTGTAACCCACCAGGCCAAGGGCCTACTCAGGTGATTTGAATGTTGATTTCTTAAAATCAGTTATTTATCACATATTTAGCCAAGTTTTACAGTGCGTTGATCTGTTAAGCAGTATATAAGGTTAACAGTTTATATACCTGATCAAGTCAAAGATGAGTGTTTGCTTCTGGAAATCATTAGGAATACAATCTTCAAGTTTGAGTGAATCGGAATAATCTTTTTTTTTTTTTTTTTCAGATTAGACCCCTATGGGTGATTCATAAAATGTTTCGTTAATATTGTAATTTTTCTCCTTCAAAAACTTACCTGAAATCATGATGAGGAGGTCTGGTGCGATAGTTTAGTGGTTAAAGTCCTCACCTTGTACTCCAGGATCCCATATGGGCGCTGGTTCTAATCCCGGCAGCTCCACTTCCCATCCAGCTCCCTGCTTGTAGCCTGGGAAAGCAGTTGAGGACAGCCCAAAGCCTTGGATCCTGCACCCGCGTGGGAGACCTGGAAGAAGCTCCCTGCTCCCACCTTCAGATTGGCGCAGAACCACCCATTGTGGCCGCTTGGGGAGTGGATCATCACACAGATTTTCCTCTCTGTCTCTACTCTCTGTACATCTGACTTTCCAATGAAAATAAATAAATCTTTAAAAAAAAAGTATGAGTTAGGAGAATGTTACATTTCTAGCTTAAGTGATCTTTTTTTTTTTAGTGCTTTAAAAAAAAGCAACTTATGGTTGGTGCCAGCAAAACAATTTAGATACTTTAAAATTAACAATACAATAAATTTGCCAGAAATCTCGCATAGATTAATACTAAATTTTAATTCTAAAACTGTTGCCCTTGCTTAAGACATTGTTGAAATGTGAGTTGATTTTAGGTTACATCTTACAATTGCTTGTTTTTAATAGCTGTTTTGTCGTGTTCTGTTTTTATGTCCTAGGTTCCTCCAGAAGAAATAAATTACCTAACACGAATTCACTACAAAGCCCAGTCAGATGGAATTTGGGGTGAACATGAAATCGATTACATTTTGTTTGTGAGGAAGGATGTAACTTTGAACCCCGATCCCAATGAGATTAAAAGCTATTGTTACTTGTCGAAAGATGAACTGAAAGAACTTTTGAAACAAGCAGCCAGTGGTGAAATTAAGATAACTCCATGGTTTCAGATTGTTGCAGAGACTTTTCTCTTCAAATGGTGGGACAACCTAAGCTGTTTGAGTCAGTTTGTTGACCATGAGAAAATACATAGGATGTGAATGTGCAGATGGCTGGTCATTGAACATGTGCTCTGTCCCGGAAACTAGAATGGTTTTGTTTGTTTCAAATTGGTTTTTCTATTAGAATGCTCCTACGGTACATTGCTGTTTTCTACAATCAGAATTTGTGTGGGAAAAACGGCTGATTTACGCTTTGTATTGCCTACTCTACTCCATATGCACTATTACTTGCGTTTATTTATGCATAATGAGAGAACAAATAAGAATCTGCCCGAAAGTGCTGATGAGAAATCTGAACAAGTAAGCGAAGCTGGTGGGGACGTGCTGTAGCAATACACATTTCTGCAGTAATTCACTGTCTGCCGATGCTCGCTGCAGGGTTTTTTGTAATAATCCAGAAAAATGAGCGGAAGAACCAACCTAGTTACCTCAGAAGCGTTCTAATTAACTTTGCATATGAACAGATTAAACTGGCAAAGCAGGTTACAGGGAATTTGAAGAGTATATAATCATCCCTCCATAAAAAAATCCAGAGGCAAGCACTGTGTTAGAGCAGGTGAAGCTGCCACTCAGAGTGGCCACACCACACCGCCCGGCCCGTACTTCCAGTGCAAGAGATGATGGCCCAAGCACTTGGGTCCCTGCCACCCACACGGAGACGCAGCTGGAGTTCCTAGCTCCGAGCTCCAGTTTGGCCAAGTCCCGACCGTCAGCAGACATTTGGGAAGGGAACCATAGGAAATATTTATTTCTGTTACTCAGCTTTTTAAATACATGTTAATAAATCCATCTCCCTCTCACTGCATATAACCTATGCCTACCCACCCATATTTCTTTAAATCACCTCTAAATTACTTATTCCTAAAACAGTGTAAATAATATACAAATAGTTGTTATGTTGGAGTAAAAAAACAGAAAAGCAAAGTTGTACATGTGATTAATATAGGTGAAGTTCTTTTTCTGAATATTTTGCTCATACATTAATTAAATCTAGGTACAGGATCTTGCAAAATGGAGTTCTTGATTTTGTAGTTTAGTTATTCTGGAAGTAGTGTGATAATGCCAAATGCTGTTTCTGGTAATGGCAATTGGTTAGATTGTCTTAAATAGTAGTTGCCAATTTGTGATGTCCGGGATTGCAGGATTAGAACGGACGACTAGAGTCCTCAACAGGATCTCCCAGCCTTGGCGTTGTCAGCAGTAGGCTGGATAGTTTGCTGTGGTGAGCTGCTCCCTGCATTGTAGGATGTTTAACAGCATCTTGGCCCCACTCAGTGCAACACCCCCTCTCTCCCAAGACAACCAAACCTCTAGTTGCAAGCCACTGTTTTGTAAGGCAGGCCATGTTTCCGGGAGTGCAGTTACAGAATATTTTATTCAGGTTATGGAATTCTTTAAAATTATACCTTAAATAATAATGTACTTTGTGATACTTGAAATCCTAACAGGATGCTAAATGCTATGGATTAATGAATAATGAAGAAAAATAAAAGTTTATTTTAAAGATTTATTTCATTTTTATTGGAAAGTCAGATATACAGAGAGGAGGAAAGACGGAGAGAAAGATCTTCCGTCCAATGATTCACTCCCCAAGTGAGCACAACAGCCAGTGCTGTGCCGATCTGAAGGCAGGAGCCGGGAACCTCTTCCGGGTCTCCCACACGGGTGCAGAGTCTCAAGGCTTTGGGTCGTCCTTGACTGCTTTCCCAAGGCCACAAACATGGAGCTGGATAGGAAGTGGAGCTGCCGGGATTAGAACCAGCACCCATATGGGATCCTAGTGCATTCAAGGCGAGGACTTTAGCTGCTAGGCCATGGTGCCGGGCCCCCCCTTTTTTTTCTTAAGATTTATTTTATTTTTATTGGAAAGTCATATATACAGAGAGGATGAGAGACAGATATAAAAATATTTCTTAACAATCTAAATGTCTTGTAAATTAAATAGAATAAATTTTTTCTTAGTAACCCTAAACAGTTCATTGATAATTTCAGGCAACACTATACAGCAAATATTTTATTGAAAAGTTGAAAATAAAGTATGATCTGAATAAATATTTTTAAAACATTTTAGATAATAAATTCATTTTATTTTTGACTCATGTCCATGTGGACCACCAGTTATGGTAGGGACGGATAAGGAATCTGGGAAAGTGGATGAGACAGCTGCCTCCAATCTCCTTTTTTTCTTCTGATATCTGGGGTAAGTGGAGAAGGAAAGGGAGAAGGCCGCTCCCTGCAACCCAACTACATCAGTACCCAGAAACGGGAAGGTCACCCCTGTGTGGAGCATGTTCCAAGGACACTGCTTAAGTGGTTTTGATTGTTCTGAGATACTGTTAATCTCCTTTCTTAAAGGTTCAGGAAATCCTTCCGAAGATCATTGGCTGATATGCTTCACTTTAGAGTCTTGATTCACCCAGATACTTGCTGTCAAAGTTTGGCTAGGGGAACTGTGCAGTTTGCTGTGCCCTCCATGGTATTAGATGTCTTCTGCAGGCCTCAGTGAACTAGTTTTCATGTCCCCTGTGAGTGTCTGAGCATGCACTGACCTTAGCAACCATGGAGACACAATTTTGACAGATGTACTCCGCAGACCACAGATTCTGTGACTTTCACTGTGGTTGGAGTTCTGAGTCCAGTGATCCAGTTGGGGGTCCCCAAAGAAACCTCACCAGAGGTGACCCAGCCTGACTCCTGTGTTTGCCGGCCAGCGTAGATTCTGGCTCATCACATCATCCAAAGCAGCCCACGCACACACTGGTGGTTGCAGTCACCTGGTCAGTTCTGTCCGCAACCCCATCTCATATACATCCAGTGGATGCTGTGGGCCAGCCCATCCCTGCCCACCACCCACTCTGCCCCTACTAGGCCTGCGTCCAGCTCAGATTCCTGTGCATGCTGGTATGTGCCTCAGACTGGTCCAATCTGTCCCACATCCCACTCCACTTTCATACGCATCAATGGGCATTAGATCCTAGCTCAGCCAAACCGACCCCACTATCCAGCCCACTCTCATGATAGCAGATACCACTGCCTGGCCAGCCAGGTCCACCCCCATCCCTGGTTCTTATACTCACCAGTGGAAGTTAAAGTCTATCAGAGAGGTGCCCACAATTCCCCTACAGGCCCCACTTCCATTCCTAGATCTGCCACTTTCCAGGTTGTTCTAGGGTCTAGTCTCACAGCTTGTCCCAAGTCCCTGCATTTGTCAGCCTATGCTGTGGCAAAACTCACCAGCCTGCACTTAACTCTGGCTCATGCATGCAATAGTGGATACGGTCATGTAGCTCAGCCTGACTCTCCCTCTAACCCAGCTAACATACAGGCCAATAGGTGTTGTACCCCTGCCCAGCCTGGTCTGCCCCCAGCCCCAGCTCTCATGTTCACCAGTGGGAACAGTGGCCCAGCAGGGGAACCCTACAGCTTCCCTGCTGTGCTTGCCCCCCATTACAGGTCCTACATGTGCTGATGGGAGCTCCAGCCCACACTGGCATGACTTGCCTCATCTCAGCATTTGCCAGCAGATGCTGTAGCCTGACTCGGCCCGACCTGCCCCCAGCAGGTCATCTCCCTCATGCTGGGAGATGCTGCAACCTTGCCCCGCCCAGCCAGTCTCCAGTCCCTACCCTAATGTGAACTGACTGGTGTTGTGGCCCAACCTGGCCCATCCTGCACTCTGTCCTGGTTTTCACATCTGCCAGTCGATGCCATGGACTGTCCCTACCTGGTCTGTGCCCAGATCGGACCTACATGTATACCTGTTTTTATGGTAACCTGGTTTGGTCTGTGCTGCTCCTAGTCTTAGTTCTTGTGCTCACCTGCAGGGACTGCATCCTTTCAGAGGAGTCCTCAAGATCCTGTATCATGTCACCTCCCATTGGCAGATCTTGAGCACACTGGTGGGTCCTTGGCCCAACCTGACTTGGCCCCTTCCTGTCCTGGTAGGTACAGCAGCCTTGCATGACCAGCCCACACCCGTTTTGTTTCTTAATGTTGGGTGCTATATCCCAACCATGTCTGGCCCTGCCCCAGACCCAGCTCTCATATGGTTCAGTGGGTGCAGAGACCTAGGCCAGGCTGTTTTGTACCCTCCCTGGCTCTCATGAGCACTAGTGGGTGCTGGAGCCTAGCCCAGTCTGGTACATCCCAGACCCAGTCCACACCCATGCCAAGGGATGCTGCAGCCATGTCCAGCCTAGTTTGCCACCCCATTCCACCTATCATGACCACTAGTGGGAACTACAGCCCAGCAGAGGCATCCCCTTAGCTCCCTGACAAGCTTGCTCCCAGCCACAGTTCTTGCACATGCCAGTTGTTGCTCTGACTCAGCTCAGCGTAGCCCATCCACTGTCTTGGCCTTAAACATTGGATGCTGCAGCCTGACCTGTTCAGGCCCTCCACCAAGGGTGTTGCAGTCTGCCCTGTCCAGCCTGCTCCCATCCCTGGCTTTCATGCAAACTGGTAGGTGTGATAGCCTAGCCTAGCTTGGCATGGCCCATACCCCATTCTGGCTCCCACACATCAGTGTGCTATGCTTTGGCCTGGCAGTGCTGGGTCCACCCCTAAAGCCAACCCACACACCTGCTGACGAGTGAAGCAGCCCTGACTCATGTGCTCACCAGAGGGAGTTACCACCCACTGAGGGAGTTGCCCAAGTTCCCCCAATAAGCCCTTACCCAGCAATATGTCCCCCCAGCTCAGCCTTTGTGTGTGCTGGTGGATATTGTAGCCTGGTCCACCCCACAAACAATTTTGAGTGTGCATGTAGGTGATAGAGCCTGCACCAGCCCAGCCTGTTCCCAACCCTAGCTCCTATAAGTGTTGTTGAGTACAATGGTCATGCCCATCACCACCCCCAGCCCTGTAACAAACCAGCTGTTATGGCAATCCCACAGGGGTGAGCCAATGATCCCCCACCAAATCTGCTCTCAGACACAGTTCTCTCGTGAGCTCGTTAGTGTCATGGCCTAGCCTCATATGGTCTACCACCATCCCAACACGCACTGGTGTGTACCATGGTAGAGCCCTGCCAAGCAGGCATCCCAGCCATGTGCGCCAGCAGTTGGTGGTCAGTATCAATAAACCCAGTTCAAGTCTCCCATGTGAGCAGGTGTATTGGTTTGGCCCCCAAAGTTCCTCCAGCTTCCCTCCTCTAAACCTCCTGGTCTTGGCCCCCTCATTTACCTACAAGTTCATTAACCTGGTTGTTAGAAGCCCCCCAGAAGTAACTCCTCAACAGTCAAATTCTCCCTCAGCAGTCTTCCCTCTCACACATCCACAGACATGCCTCCCTGAGCAATCCACAGCTTCCCATGCCCGGTCCTATGGCGGCGTGCCATGCCAGTCTGGGGCCATGCCTACCTACCCAGGGCCCACACACATTCATGTGCAGGTCCCCAGTCCCCATCTGATGGCATGCTATCGTGTGCCCCCCACATATTTTTTTGTATGTATAAAAAAATTGAATTTTTTTTTAATGCTAGCACACTGGTATAGTTAATACAAATTTGGCATTAACCAGACACAGAATGCCTGCTAGCCGTAAGCTGCTTTTCTCCCAGCAGTGTGCCACTTGCCTAAGTACAATGCAACCTCAGCAACTGCCTACAGCTGGGGTAATTATTCCCTCCCTCCCTTTTTTTTTTAATTATGTGGGGCCACACATGATAGCCTAGTGGCTAAATCCATGCCTTACAACAACCAGGATCCCATATGGGCATCAGTTCATGTCCCAGTTGTTCCACTTTGCATCCAGCTCACTCTTTGTGGCCTGGGAAAGCAGTCAAAGATAGTACAAAGCCTTAGGACCCTGCACCCATGTGGGAGACCCAAAGAAGGCCCCTGGCTCCTGGCTTCAGATCAGCTAAGCTCTGCCATTATGGCCACTTGAGGAATGAGCCAGTGGATGAAAGATCTTTCTCCTGTATCTCTGCCTTTCCAATAAAAATAAACAAACCTTTATAAAAAAAATTGCTTTTTTGGCCCTGGTGTGGTAGCCTAGTGGCAAAAGTCCTCCCTTGCATGTGCTGGGATCTCATATGAGCACCAATTCATATTCTGGCTGCTCTACTTCCCATCCAGCTCCCTGCTTGTGGCCTGGAAAAGCAGTCAAGGACAGCCCAAGGCCTTGGGACCCTGCACCCACATGGGAGACCTGGAAGAAGCTCCTGCTTCCTGACTTCAGATCAGCTCAGCTCCAGGCGTTGTGGCTATTTGGGGAATGATCCAGTGGACAAAAGATCTTACTCTATCTCTTTTTCTCTGTATATCTGCTGTTTCAATTAAAAAAAGAAATCTTAAAAAAAAAAAAAAAAAGACTTTGGCCTGTCCTCGACCGCTTTCCCAGGCCACAGCAGGGAACTGGATTGGAAGTGGAGCTGCCGGGGCACAAACCAGCGCCCATATGGGATGCTGGCACTTGCAGGTTAGAATTAGACTTTTGATCCACACATCGACCCGTATTGTTTTTCATTTCTATAAAATGAGTAGATTTCACTTTTCATGACAGAGTTAGAAATTTGGCCTAACTGCCCCTCCCTCCCCTTCCTCCCTTTCCCCATGTATTTTTTTCCCAAATCATTACAATAGCATATTCATTCACTTTGCACTAAAAAGCTTAACTTCCCAATATTTAAAGGTATTGACATAGCAAGGAAAGGAGAAAAGAAAGAAAAAAAATATTATATATAATTAAACTAAACTGAGAGTGCAAATCCTGCTGTTACTCACGAATATAGACTTGCTGCATACAGGCGCTAATTGCAAGCATGCTGACCAAATTTATACAGATTACATTTCTTGTGCTCTGTGTATTGTCACAGGAAACATGGTCTCATTTTAGTACTGTTGTCTAGTTTGTTAGGATTTTAAAGCTGTAGTAACAGTCTGAATGAAGTAGCATAAACACGATAAATGATATACAAATGAAAGTATGATTGTTTGTGTTGCTTTCGTTTTGTCTAGGAAGTTTTTTTTTTTTTAAGATTTCTTTTTATTGCAAAGTTAGATATACAGAGAGGAGGAGAGACAGAGAAGAAAGATGTTCCGTCTGATGATTCACTCCCCAGTGGCTGCAATGGCCAGAGTTGCATCAATTTGAAGCCAGGACTCTTTAGGGTCTCCCACACGGGTACAGCATCCCAAGGCTTTGGGCTGTCCTTGACTGCTTTCCCAGGCCACAAGCAGGGAGCTGGATGGGAAGCAGGGCTGCTGGGATTAGAACCGACACCCATATGGGATCATGGTTGTTCAAGGTGAGGGCCTTAACTGCTACACTATTGCGCCGGGCCCACAAACAGGTTTTCACAGCTTTCAGCTCAACCGTGCTTGCCATGTCGTATAATGTGGGATTTCTCACACACAAAGCACTGTTTCCAGACGTGCTTGAGAAGTCAGCTGGGAATGGAGGCTTTGTGTGGAATGACTAGTTCCTGAAGGTTGAGAGAGCTGCTTTAACAGTTACACATATTCCTAAGATCATGTCATCTATGAACGGACAAGTTGCTTTCTTCCCTCTCCACTTCGGATGACTTGTTCCTGTTTCTTAATACTCTGGTTAGATCTTTCAGTAATATGTTCAACAGAAAAGAAAGTAACTTGGTGTCTGTATTCCATTTCCTTTTTTATTTTTTTTTTTAAGATTTATTTATTTATTGGAAAGTCAGATATACAGAGGAGGAGAGACAGAGAGGAAGATCTTCCGTCCCATGATTCACTCCCCAAATGAGCTCAAGGGGCCGATGCTATGCTGATCCGAAGCCAGGATCCAGGAACTTCTTCCGGGTCTCCCACATGGGTGCAGGGTCCCAAAGCATTGGGCTGTCCTCAACTGCTTTCTAGGCCACAAGCAGGGTGCTGGATGGGAAGTGCAGCTGCCGGGATTAGAACTGCTGCCCATATGGGATCCTGGCGCGTTCAAGACAAGGACTTAAGCTGCTAGGCCACACCGCTGGGCCCTTCCATTTCTTTTTTAAGATGTTTTTACTTGAGCCTCTGCAGGTGGAGAATTAGCCAGCTACATCACCATGCGAGCCTATTTTCATTTTTCTGCGACAATTTTGTCAGTTGTGTAACTATTTCTTTGTACCTTGCATCTACTAACCTATTGCCTTTTGAACCCCAACACTTCTGAGAAGACATGATAATAACCCTGTGAGCCTTTGTAGATAAAGACTGTGGGGCTGGAGTGTGGTTCAGCACACTAATTCTCCACCTGCAGTGCTGACACCCCCATATGCTGGCTGCCCCACTTCTAACCCAGCTCCCTGCTTACACCTGGGAAAGCTATGGAGGATGGCCCAAGTCCTTGGATGCCTGCACACACAAGGGAGACCTAGAAGAGGCTCCAGGCTTTGGATTGGCTCAGCTCCGGCCATTGTGGCCAGCTGGAGTGAACCAGGAAGTACACAATTCTTTCTGTAAATCTTTCAAATAAAATAAATAAATAAGCTTTTCAAAGTCCAGATCCTTAAATGCCTAGCCTCTAAATAGGGCTAAAAATTTGGGGAAATGAAATAAAGCTTGTTCCTTTCAATGCCCTTGGGTCGGTGTAGTAGATGAGGGTTTGCAACAGTGGTGGTCCGTCTGTCCCTGCACTTCCATTGTCAGACACAGCACTCGGCAATCACGCAAGTCCCCAAATCTGGAGGACAAGGTCCTCAGTGTCCATGCTGCCAAGCACACACAGGTCTAGAACTACCTGCAATGGGGCTGGGTCTTGGGGTAGGCACAATAGTCAGAAATAAAATATTCTGGTCAAAGTTTTTCCTACAAGCTGTGCCCCTGAGGAGATTTAAATTCCAAAATATCTATACCACACTAGATCCTGGTCCTCAGACTGCCATCAGGGTAGAGATAGAGTCAGCATACTCCCTACTGTCATCCCTGACACCACTCAGGGTATCTCTTCAAATCTCTCCAACATCAGTATTTTTTTTTTCTTTTATTCCTAAAATTGTGAAAGAAAAGTTCTTAACTAAGGAAATATAGAAGACGGTCATGTGCAGGCATATTCTGAAAGCGTCCAGATTGCAGCAAAGGGGACCTGCTAAGTACAGCATCTCTGCTTTTTAACTGCATTTAAAGAAGTAGTAACAACGGTATTAAAACAAAAACATTCTATCATATCGCAGCCTCGGCTCGGATCACTGACACAGGGTGGGGCTGGGACCAGGTACTTGCTGCCCTCCAGGGTGTACGCTAGCAGAGGCCAGATGGGAAGTCACTGGGATCAAAACCAGGAAGTCGGATAGGGCATTCATGTGTCCCAAATGGTGACTTAACTGTTGCTCCAAACGTCCACTGCACTCAAAGTCTTATACACTTTATCTCATTAAAAACGGGTGTTGGGGGAGTTTTTGCGTTTTGTTGAATGTCACTTTCAGCAGATGTTTTCCTTTTCTTGAGAAATCCACTGCCAGGGACTGGCAGCAGGAGGTGGGAATATGGTCCAGGTCTCCCAGGTAGGCAGCAGACCCAGTAACTTGAACCTTCATTTGCTTCCTTGCAGGGTCTGCACTGGCATGAAGTAGAAATGAGGAGCTAGAGCCAGGAACTGCACCCAGGCACATTAATGTAAGAATCTTCCCAGCATCTTCTCTTCAAGGTGTGTAAATTATTTATTTGAAAGGCAGAGACGTCTTCCATCAGCTGATTCTCTCCCAAATGTCTATAACAGATGGATCTGGGCCAGCTGAACCCAAGAGCTAGGAGCTCCACCCAGGCTTCCTATGTGGGCCATCATTGCTGCTTCCCCAGGCACACAGAGCAGAGCTGACCTGGAGGCCCAGCTGTCGCACAACACCAGCCCCTTCCCAGCATCTAGGACAGATGCCCATTCTGGAGATGTCAGAGTTAACTGCCGTGCCATCTTAGGCAACATTTAATCACAAAACAGTATTTTTGCTGCAAACACAGAAAAGAAATGTATTGCCTTTTTCCCCATTTGGCCAAACTTATAATGATATTTGACTACACCAAAAAGTACTAAATGAATCAAAACTACTTTTTCTTGCAGATTTATTTTGGATAAAATAATTGGAAGACATTATTATGATACAGTGTACAAAAAGTTCAGGAAATAATTTAAGAGGGCATTTTAAGCATTGGGGTTCTGACCGAATTATAGCAGTGTTGGCTCCCAACCATGCAAGGCACCTAGCCTTCTGCCCGCATCCACAAGCAGAAATGCTGACTTCACCAAACAAGAGGGTATCTCTATATGATGAATCAAAGTTCTCTCACAAAGAAAATAAGGTTTTTTCACCCAATCTTTCCAGTTCTGCAAATCTGAAACAATCAACCCTCCATTAAATGCAGAACCACTGTCTACTCCAAGTATTTGTATTATGCAAAGATAAAAATTCCCCACACCTATGTGGGATTTAACTACAAATTTAGCAAAGCAAAGGATGCTTTACTTTTTGTTTCAAGAAAACTAAGAAATAGCCAGCAACAGTCTACCCAAACCATGTTGACTGAACAGGACACTATCTCCTGTCCTTTTTACCAGCTTTCCTCTTTCCAGAGAGTAAGTGTTTGGGCTTCATGTCAAACACATGTCGATCGGACTCCCCTTTCTTGCCCAGGCGATTCATCTTCTTCTGGGCATTCTTCATCATGGTCTTGGCTTTCTTTACCATCTAGAGGAAGAGCAAACAAGAGGAGTATTACTGCAAACAAAACTTCCACTTTGTATTTTAATCACCAGGTGACAGTCAGACTTAATGACCAAGAACTGCGGTTTGAACAGACCCTGGCGAGTCTCTCTCACTGCCTCTCCTCAGGCCTACCACAGCACCTGCAGGAACTCCATGATTACCTGCACATAAAGACTGGCTGAAAACTCTTAAGGCAAGTTTTACACCTAAAAAACATTTTCAATCTACCTCTATAAAATAGCTTACTAGATTATATATAGATTTCTATATCTGACTCTTAAAACCAATGAAGACTACACATTTTTGTTTAATTAAGAGAGACTTTAAGAAAAGAGACTGTATACTAAGTGTTTTCCCAACAGATGGCATGTATGAGTGACCTAAGCTATTGATGTTTTGGGAGGGGGAGAGGGATTTCCACAACACGCAGATAAGCAAATCATGAGGTGATTCAGTCATCTAGGTGTCTCTGGGCTGGTCCATGATAGGGCCTCATGGGGCACCTGGCGCTGAGAGCAAGGGCCTCAACAGCTGAGACCTGAACTCAGCGTACTGGCTCTTTATGAGATCACACCTCTCAGGAAAAAGCAAGGACCAGCTCACAGTCCACGTAGGACGATAAGCTAGGGCATCCAGCTGTATGTGGCCCAAGCTCTCAGGAGTCCCCGAAAACTGGGAAACGCAGCACACAACTACCCCTACCCACAGCTCCTGCCTCTCCATGCCGTAACCGCTCGTGTTCGCACTGAGCCCTTCCATGGTAACACTGGAGGCTATTCCTACACCACAGACTAACCTTGACATCCCGAAGACCAGAGACATCACGTGGTGTTCGAGAGCAGCTCCGACTCCGGGTTACAGAAGAGGGTGGAACGGAATCCTCCCGCTTTCTTTTCCTAGTGACACTTCGAGATCTTCTTGCCTGGACTGCATAGTGAGCCTGAAAAGCAAGGAAAGCAAACTTTAGGGTTCAGGATTCTGGCCCTGCTACCAGGTTCAATGACAAATTTAAATAAGGGAAACATGACAAAAGTGACTAAAACCCATTATAATAACCAAAATCAGCTAAAGATCCTTAAGACACAAATATTTAATTCCACATTAATTACCACTCAAACATCCATTTTCACTGAATTCCAAGCTAACCTATGTTATAGAGCCGATTTTAACAGCAACTAACACGTTGACTTGGGCGTAAACAACTTGCTTCTCTCCCTAGTTCTCCATTTGTGTTACCTATCTAAAAACAAAAGTGACAACTGTCAGAAAGTTCAAACTTGAAGAAAAGACATGTAGACTGTATGCCTAAGGACAGATTCTGTCAGCAAACCTGGTCAAGTCACAGCTGATTTAAATGAGTCCCTTAACTTTATCACCCACCCTTGCTTGTAAAGCAAGTATTCAGGCAGGCATTTAGCTCCTACGTGAGTACAACACAACAATGCAAGCACACACAAAGCAAGCTAAGCACCCCCATACACTGCTGATTCACAGCAATTATGCCAGCCCTTCCACAAAAGAGCCTGCCTACAATGGTCCAGAGTCTGGGAACTGCATCCTAGTAATCAGTTTCAAATAATCCAAAACATGAAAGAAAACTTTCTTATGTTCTAGCATAAATGACCACAAAAGGAAAATCTAACTTTAATAGCTACCAGAAACACTTTCTAACCTTTGGGCCCCCTAAAAGCAGTTTTTAACTATGTGGAGTCTGAAGCCAACTAAAGCATCAGACAGACCTGAATCACAATTCAAGTAAAAAACAAGTGAGTCACACAACAAAAAATTTATTTTACCCTGACATCTTTTTTCCAGGTATGCTTTTGACTTATGTGAATTCTTTACATTTAACCTTAAATTCCTTCAGACAGCAAATAAACTGTAAACAATCCAAAAAAGAAATAAAGAAGTTTTGGCTCAGCTCTATGAAAAGCTATCTACCATATTTCAACACACTTCATCTTTGTGTGATACAAAAAGGTGATTTTTTTTCTTTGTGATAGTGAATGTTTACCAAGTTTCCTACTAACAGAAAAGAAAATAAAAGATAAAGTATACCCAATACGCCTCCAAAATGTTGGAAAAATGGAATTAAGTGCTAAGTTTACTTTGGGGTAAACAGAAAAAAAAAATCTGATATTCACATATTTTCAGAAAACAGAATTTCCCTGAACTTTTTGACCTTCACTTTACTTTAAATAGTAACAAAAAACAAAAGCAACTGCACCGGGGTCACAGGAATTAATTTACATGAATAAAACCAAAACTTCAGCAAGAACCCTTGCCCACTCTCAGGAACGAGTTTTGATGAAGGACAATGGGAAATGCAGTCTTCGGGAAGTCTTCTCAAATGGCTGAACAGTTAGAACCAAGTTGTGAAAACACCACCTTGCCAGTGTCATGAGTCCCAAACTAAACACAACCGAACCGAGCATTCCCGAGGGAATTCGGCAGTGCGGGAGTCACATCCATCGCTTCACAGCAAATTCGAGGCCAATACAGATACTGAAAATTCTGACTCCTTGTCTCTGAAACTTTAAATCAACTTCACAGGTTGCTAAGGGCCATTTGTTTCCTAAATAAGGTTGTCTTTAGCTGTATAAATACGAAATCAGCCCCCAGCATACTTACATTGTCTTTATTATCCATGTCAACACCAAGACTACGCATCTCATTCTCCAAAACTGTCTTCTGAACCTGAAAAGCAATTTTTTGAATGCCATTTTAAAATCACTTTGATGAAAAATCAAAAGTATTTTTAATATTGATTTAAGGCATCTGTGTTAGAAGCTGTATTCTTCCTTGGCCTCGCTTTCATGTTTTCTTTAAGCATACTCGTTTGTTTATATTTACTTGAAGGGCAGAGACACAGAGAGGCAGAGATCAGTCAGCAAACGCATACGCTGTCCAGGGATCAGGTGAAGCCGAAGCAGGAGCTTGGGACTCCATCCAGGCCTCCCACACAATGACAGGGACCAAGCACCTAGCCATCACCTACTGCCTCCCAGGGCTCACAAAGCAGGAAGTGCGACTGGAAGGAGAGTTGGGAGCAGAAGGCAATCCAATACACGGGCTGCAGGCATCCCAAGAAGGGCCTTAACCACTGTCAAACACCTGTTGATATGATGGTTTTGGATAGCTCAGTTAAACCTCATGAAAACTAAAACTTACTAAGAAACTGCTATGTATGAGGACATGTATACTTTTAAAAATTCTACCCAACAACTCAGGGGATGTTTCCATTGTATGGATGAACCACAGAAGCTGCAATGGTTAGAGTGTTGCAATATTAGAATGTTAGAATATTAGCATTAGGCAATGTTAGGCCCCTTTGTGCCGAGACCTGGACTGTGGGAAAACTCCACTTTAGCGATAAATCTGTTCTTTGTTCCTCTGTAACCTCATGAACAGAGTCACAAACCTTAACTATCAACTAAACCAGGTGCAGAAGGGCAGGGGCACAATTCTCTGGTCCCAGAGGAACCACAGAGACAAGGGTGTGAGAATGGGATGAGCCATAAAATATAATGAGTGTGTGGGCCCGGCACAGTGGCGCAGTGGTTAAGGTCCTCGCCTTGCACGTCCAGGATCCCATATGGGCACCGGTTCTAATCCTGGCAGCCCTGCTTCCCATCCAGCTCCCTGCCTGTGGCCCGGGAAAGCAGTCGAGGACGGCCCAAGGCTTTGGGACCCTGCACCCCACGTGGCAGACCCAGAAGAGGCTCCTGGCTTCAGATCGGCATAGCACTGGCTGTTGTTGCGCTAACTTGGGGAGTGAATCATCGGACGGAAGATCTTCCTCTGTCTCTCCTCTTTGATGTATGTTACAGCCAAAAAGGGGCCTATATAATCTCTAGCCTTTTTTGCTAGCATCGGGGTCGACCTCTGATTGGCTGGCCTGTGTGCCCCAAGAACAGTCTGACCCCAGCATGCTGGCACAATAAACTCAGCCTGCTTTCGCCATTACCAGTAAGACTCTGTCGTTTCTAGGGAGTTGGCTAAACCGGACCCTAACAATTAGTGTCATACCATTACAGACACAGGGGCCAACATTTCTCCTTCCAGAAGCTGCTGCATTCCACTATTAAGAAGCAGAAAAATGGCCAAGTCTGTCAAGAACCAGTCACCTGCCATCATAAACATGATCAGCCACTTGGACATATCTATGTCAAGCTATTTTCCACTACATTTTAACTGTCCTGCATGTCGTCTGAGTTTTTAGGCAACCATCTTCCCGTTTACTGCTATGCTAATTTCATGTGGCACGGGGGGCTATCACAGAACTCTACCTCCCTGACAAAATCATGAACAGAGGAAAAAAAAAAAGCTGAACAGTGCTAAGAATGCAGACAACTGGTTCATTTACATTAATATGTATTTCTCCCCATCTTAACCAACCACAAGGGCCAGTTAAGTATCTTTTTGTTTAAATTAGCTAGTGTCTGTAAACTATAAAATTATAAGTCCTGAATAATGCAGGAAAAAAAAGTGATCAATACTTACACCAAAAAAACGAAGCACATACAATCTTACAGCCAAACAGATTGTAATCAATGATTTTGCTAGTCCATATTGAAAAAATGAGTCATGTATATATTTTGGAAAGACAAAGCAAACAAACAAAAACCAACACATACCTTCTTAGCAGTTCGAGGCATCCTGGGTCCTTGTGTATTCTTTTCTTTGGATTGAAGAATTTTCAATTTCTTTTTTTCCCTAATTTGCTTTGCCAGCTGTCGAATTTCTGCCATTTCCTCATCTTCACTTTCAGAATCACTGTCATACTCCCCAGCAGCTGTTCTTAGCTCTTCTTCTTTTTCTAACTCTTCCAATTTCTTTAAAAATATAGGCATAATTAAAGAAAATAAAGAGAACCTTTTAAGTAGGGGTGACAACATGTACAAGGCAAATGATTCCCTTAAGTCTTTGAGGTTCCAATAACCCTATGGTCATATCCCAATAGGATCTGTATTGTAACACATTTATCTATGCAGAGCACAACAGATGGCTGTGAGGAAAATGGAGACCACACGAACATGAACTGATAGCAGATTGGCTAACCGTTCAGTTACTTTTCCTTTTTAAAACACTTCAGCTTCAAGGCCAGAAGTGTGGAAAGATCACTTCCGCATTCCCTACAGAATCATCAGATAAAAAATATACAAAATCTCAAAGAGGCACAGGTGTATCATAACCTAACTGATCTATCTAGCCAGGAGTACAAGGGGCAGAATGCCAGCCCCAAGAGGCCAGCAGCATCAGCTACGGAAACTGGATGTAACACGGAGATGAGTGTAGGGCGCACGGCTGAAGAGGTTAGGAAAAGGAAGATCACATGACTCCTCATCTCCAAGAGTGGACGACAGGATGGAAAGATAATGGAAAGATAAAAAGACCAGAAAAGCAGGAAAAGTCCAGTTATGGCAAGGCCATGAGGACAAAAACTAGATAATGCAGGACAAAGAAAATTATAGATGGGAAATCAGTGAGAACAGTAAAGAGTAAGGGTGGATGACATGTAGGTTCACCTGTTGGGAACCCAAACAAATGTACTGGCAGTTTAACTGCTAGAGCAGAAAAATTCAAGAACTAGTCTGTGAAGAGTTCACAAAACAGTGACACTGAAAATATACATCGAGGCGGACATCTAGGAAATTGAGGAGTGGAAATGATCAGAAAATCCTAACACTCAATGAATTATTGAGCAGGTTTTCAAAGAGCTTGACTGAGAAGAGAAAAAGGGTGACAACTGAAGGAGGATATATGGTCTAAGGTTTTTATTTGTAAAAAATGAGATATATATGCGAAAATAGGGGGATGAGACTGAGCTGGGACAAAGATGACAGCAATGAAGCAAATTTCTAGAAAAAAACAGATCTGAGAAAAGACTAACACATTGACAGCCCACTCCTTTACCAAATTAGAAAGCTGATTTATCAGGGGTGAGAACTGCCTGGCCCACAGGCCATACAAACCCTCAAAATCACTTAGTTTAGCCCTGCCAAGCCAACTGTAGGTAGAACTCAAAAATCCAATGAATCTATAGCAGACTTATTTTTAAGATGGTAATTTTGTGTGATCTATGAATGATTTTGTAAAGATCCAAATGGCTCTTTGTAGAGAAAAGGTTCCCCACTACCGGTACAAGAATAGACATACCATCAGGAGATCAGAGATTTCCCAACCAAAGGACCTTTTTTTCTTGATAATTCAAGGCCAGCTACTGAGATTGGCAGATGGAATATGAGTAGAAGTCTGAGAAGGGAGAAAAGCCTGAAGCAAACTTCTGACATACAATAAGGGGATCCAAAGTGCCATGCCAATACCAGCTGGAGCAGCTGGAGACATCTGCAGGACAGACAGGGCCAAGGAGGCCAACCAGGGGAAAACTGTGTGATCATACAAGGCACAGTGTGTGGATGGATAAGAAATTGAACAGGGAAGAAATGGAGAAGTGCTAACTGCAGAAAGAGAATGAAGGGAACAGACCCAGGTGAGCCCAAAGCTGTGTTTCCACAGATTAAAAAGGAAAAAAAAAAAAAAAAAAAAAATCGACAATTTAAAAAGTGACACAGACCTTCATGATGGCAGGATCAATGTAATCGGCTATATTATGACCTTCCCAGATCTCAGGTATCTTATCATGTTTTTCTGATGAATTCATTAAATCCCAGTATTCTAGAGTTAAAAAACAAAGTTATGTTAACAGTTTTTAATATGTTTATGTTAAACACTACAAACTAAAATGAGGTGTCAATCAAGATCCCTCTACATAACAAAGCACTTAACGCTGTACACTACACAGTATCTATGGTGTCAACCTCATTCAACACTTACTAGCTCTGAAATCACAAAATTTTCCTCCATCCCAAAACAAGAGATAATTAGTTGAATGAAGAAATTTCAGCCCTATCAGTATCTACCTTCCAATCTTTAAGAAATGAACAATTTACAAATATGCCAGAGGACTTCTACTCATTCATGTCCTTCCTCGCTTCACTGTAAAAGTTAACACGCATTTGGCAATTTACAACTACCATACTCTAGCTCTTACTTTGAAGATCCAAAACATAGTCATCTCCCATTTCCAGCTCAAGATCTCGTTCCTGTAATGGGGAAAGAAAAAAAATTATGATCAATTTCATTTTACCTTTCAGGCCTAGAAATGTTTTACCCTCTGCCAATATGAGAAAAAAAAAATCTTTCAGCAACTATGCTAATATAGTCCACACTGACAGGAAAGCAGTTTTCTGGCCTTTTGGTGGACTGTATCTTACTCTGCATTTTTCTCACTACTATCTCCTATCAGTTAAAAGCTACTCAAGAGGAATGGCCTTTATTGAGGATTTTCTGCTGTGTCCTGGTCTAACAGGCTGGACCTTCGGTACTCTCAGCCACATCTCATGCCCCAACCTCTGTCACCTACGCAAATATGACCTTGCTGGTCCCTCTCCACAAGGAAAACCGGGTCATATGCCAACATACCCTCTTCTTCTTGGGCTCCACAATTTCCATTCTCTTCTTGCGTGCCACCACTCCTTCTGGGATGAAAGGGGGTCTCTCCTGAGAAGACATTATCAGGAATATTTGTTAATTGATGTCCCATTGAACATAAAAAAGCTTAACAGAAACTAAGGGCAATCTTCTGTCTACAAGGGGACCCTACCCAGATGAATTAGGAACCAACAGCCTGGGAGTAGAGTTTTGGCCAAGCGGTTTGGATGTCCGAGTCTCATCCTTGTCTCTGGCTCCTGCCCCGTTTTCCAGGAGCCAGCACTGACGGCTGTGTCACAGGGCTCCTGCTACCCGTGTGGAAGGCCTGGACTGAGCTCCTAGCACCCCGCTCTGCCTCCTGTCCAGCGCAGGCATTTCGGGATTAAACTAGCTGAAGGGCAAAAACTCTACATCTAAAATAACTGAGGTGGAGCGGGAGGTAGGGGAACCAGAGCTAACAAAGGGGGGCAGCAGGTGGCGCACGGGTTAACATGCCTGCATCCCATATGCAAGCAGCCAGGTTTGACATCTGGATCTGTTACTGACTCCGCTGACTGAGCACCTGCCACACACAAGAGAGACCTGGACCAGCTCCTGACTTCTGCTCTGGCCCAGTCTGACCTAGCCTTAGCTGGTGTGAACACCAGAGCGGGGAACCAACAGGTGAGAGCCCTTTTCTGTCTCTCAATAAATAAATGAAAACCCTCAACACATTACTCTGAGGGAATAGGTTGTGAGATTAGTGTGGGAAAAGAGGCCAGGAGGCTCCATGAAGCAATTCTAAAGTTCTGCAAGTATAATATCAAGATTATCCCGAAAAATTACAGGAAAATAAGAGAAAAATAGTAGATCCACAAATGAAAAAAATTACATAAAATTCTTGCATAAGATAATTTAACAACCATATTCAATAATCATTTCTGAAATAAATGATATTGTCATTTGAAAATACAACTGGATACTGGATCAATACTGTAGCACAGTAGTTTAATGTTCCACCCATGGTGCTGGCCATCCCATGTGGGAACCAGTTTGAGACCCAGCAGCTCCACCTTCAAACCAGTGTCCTGCTAATGCACCTAGGAGAGCAGTGGGGGGGATGGCCCAAGTGCTTGAGCCCCTATATCCATGTGAGAATCACGGAAGAAGCTCCTGCCTCCCAAGTTTAGACTGGCCCAGCTCTGGCCATTGTGACCACTTGTGGAGTGAGCCAGCAAATAAACATCTCCCTCTCCCTCTGTAAATTTGCTTTTTAAACAAAAATAAATTGGGGCCTGGCACAATAGCCTAGTGGCTAAAGTCCTTGCCCTGCATGTACCAAGATCCTTTACACACATCAGTTTGTGTCTCATCTGTTCTTCCTTCCATCTAGCTCCCTGCTTGTGGCCTTGGAGCCCTGCACCCACATGGAGACCAGAAGAAGCTCCTGGTTCCTGGCTTCAGATAGGCTGGGCTCAGGCCCTTGCAGCCACTTGGGGAATGAACCAGCCTTACTTTCTCAGTCTTTTTGCTAAGATCAAGTAGGCAGTGAAGCAGCAGACGGAAGATCTTTCTCTCTACGCCTCTGCCTTTCCAATAAAAATAAACTTAAAAAAAAAAAAATCTAAAAAACTAAAAAATATTTTATATGACTGGATAAATATTCCCATGTCTCAGAATAAAGTAAATTCAAGACACAGCAAACACTTTTCAAGAAAGGCAAAAGTCATTAAAAAACTATAAAAGAGGGCCTGGCGTGATAGTGTAGTGGTTAAAGTCCTTGCATGCGCCAGGACACCAGTTCTAATCCTAGAGGCCCTACTTCCCATCCAGCTCCCTGCTTGTGGCCTGGGAAAGCAGTTGAGGATGGCCCAAAGCCTTGGAACCCTGCACCAGTGTGGACGGAAGATCTTTTTCTCTGTCTCTTCTTCTCTCTGTATATCTGCCTTTCCAATAAAAAAAATAATATATATATATATACACACACACACATATATATACATATATACACATACACATATACATATATATAATACTTCCAAAAATATTATCAAAACAGATATCCTTTCATGTGTAACACCTGGGTGGTTTTCATTATTATATTCATTTTCTAAAACTTTCTGGAGTGATTTCAGGTTCCCAAAGTGTCAGAGGATCATAAAGTGCAAAATCATTTTTGTTGGACAGTAAAATCTTTTCCCACTGCCACACACTGGAATCCAGCGCATACAATGCTCAGTCAGCGCTGCGGTGCTTAAGGCCTGGGCTACCTCCCCATAGGCCCTCTTACCTTCTCATCTCTCTTGTTTGGGATGGCTAAATGTAATCTGTTCAGCACCTCATTCACTTTGTTCCCCTTCATTTTGGTTTCCACTCGATGAGCCAAAAGCCTATCACAAGCCTGAAGAAGAAACAAGACATCGAGTCAGACAGCAGCCTCCCACTACGCATTTCAGACTGGAATCAAGAGTGCGACCCCTACTTCATTTCAGGGTAAGATCTAGAACTTCCTAAGTCTGTTTTCCCTCCATATGTCTCTAACATCCAGGCAGACCACACACTGCACAATAGAGGCTGACTCCCTTCAGAGCCAAGAGCACATATGAAACAGAATCTGGAAGGAGCCCTCTCAAGCTCCACTCTGCACCTGGCACCCGCCAGCCTAAGGGAGCTGCTGCCCAGACTTGTGGTGTCCTTCAACTGTCCTTCCTTATCTAGATGCAGTGATGCCCTTGGGACTCCAACTTGAGTAGTTTATCTATCTATAATTAGAGCCACAGCATCAAAACTGCCCTTTGATTTCAGGTTAAGAATAACAAGATGAAGTAGGAAATAATTAGGAGGCACCTGCCTCCTGCAGCTGTTCCTGCTTTTCACGCTACTTTTCTCCTTCTACTTCAGTAAAACTGTTAGGAAAACAGTTAAAAGTCACAACAATTGATTAAAACGTCCCAATGAGGGGCAGCACTGGGGTACAATGAGTAAAGCCACTGCCTGCGGCATCAGAATCCCATATGGATGGACACCAGTTCAAGTGCCAGCTACTCCACTTGTGAGCCAGCTCCCTCTGGAAGCGCCTGGGAAAGCAGTCCTTCAGCGTCCCCAGCAGCTGTGTGGGAGGCCAGCAAGAAGCTCCCGGCTCCTCTTCAGACCAGCCCAGCTTCGGCAACTGCAAGCAACCACTTGGGGAGTGAACCAGTGGAAGGGTGATTTCTCTCTTTGCACCATTCATTAGCTACTCCAAGTAATCTTGAGTGTTAACAGCACGTAGAACGAAAATTAATTCTGCCCCCAGGGGCTGACTTTTCAAAAGTAAGATAAAAGTAGGCTAGTTACTTGAGTTAAGAAAACACTGACCTCTGTTTTAACCTTAATGACACCTTCTTCAGTCAGGGTGCTAGTCTCTATTACAGGGAATCCTTCAGCTTGCAACTCTACAAATATTTTCTGGAAAAACAAGAGATGCATTATTGAGTTCTAGTTTCCAATAGTACACGTTACACTGTTTTGCAAATATCCAACATCTGTGATTAAAAAAAAAAAATCTTTTGAATAAACCAAGTAATCCAGAATACTTGGTGAGACTTCACTTTCCCCCGAAGCTGTGGGTAAATGCCTAGGTTGCACTGCATCTAGGCAAGTGTTACACTGCCAAGAGAAAAGCCTGGTTAATGCCAAATCTGTGTTAACTATATACCAGTGTGGCAACGTAGTTGCCTGACATATATATATCTTAAGACACGTTGGGGGTAGATGCCAGCACATTAATAGACAAGGTTTGGGGATGTGCGCACAAGTGTTATGTGGGCACTGGGTAGCAGGCAAGGCCCCTAGCTGGCATGACACACAGCTGGAGATCGTGCTTGGGGATGTGTGCACTCACAGGCCACAGGAAGCTGTGGATTGCTCAGGGCAGCAGCTTTGGAGGTATCTGAGGGAGGACTGAGGAGTGACTTCTGTGGGACTTCCCACCATCCAGGTAAATGAGCGGGCTGAGAACAAGCAGTTTGGCAAAGAGAAGCTGGAGAACTTTCTGAGGCTAAACCAATACACCTACCCACGTGGAAGATCTGATCTGGAATCACTGGTATCAAACACCATCTACCGCCACATATGAAACCCATGGCCTGGGTGTCCTGCCTGGCAGGGCTTGACTAGAGTACCCACCAGTGAGTATTGGCGTATAGAATGGGCCATGACACTAACCAGCTCAAAAATTCTGTGTGTAGTAGTGCATTCACCCCATTGAACTGCCATACTAGTTGGTTTGCTTGAGGGCTAGGGGTAGTAAAGGGCTAGGCTAGGCTACGCAGGATCATGGAGTTCACCAATACTCATGGGTATTGGAACTAGGAACAGGTCAGACTGGTCCAGGCTGTTATCATCCACAGGCACACCCAAAGATTAAGTGTGGGCGGACTGGGCTGCAGTATCCACCAGCACACACAAAACGCCAAGACTATGGGGTGTGGACCGTGCTGGGTAAGAGCCTGGTAGCTGCTACCCAGTGTGAGATCTGGGTCTGGGAGTGGGCCAGGTGGAGGAACTTGGGGAACTCTCCTGGTGAGCTGTAGCTCCCACTAGCGAGTGTGAGTCAGGGCTGGGTGTTGGCCAGGCCAGGCAGGGATTATTCACTTATCAGAAGGTGTGTGGGCTGGCTTAGGGGGACAGGGAGAAATTATGGGCAGGGCCAGGTCAAACCTTAGCACGCTGGGCATGCATGGGAGCAAGGATGGGGTTGTGAGAGCACTAGGGCAGAAAAGCCAGGCCAGGCTAAGCTATAGCATCTGATGGCAAAGGATAAGCTGGGCAATGGGTAATGCTAGCTGGGTTGGAACAACCACTGGCACGTACAAGATCTGTGACTGGCAGTGAGCCTAGTCGGGGAGCTAAGGGCACACTCCCAATGGGCTATGGTTTCTACAGGTGAACGCCAAGAGTCAGAACGAGAGCAGTGATCTGGGTTGGATATGGTTGCAGTATCCCTCAGCATGGATGTGGACTGGGTCTGGGCTGTGCCAGACTGGGCTAGGCTCCAGCACTCACTGGTGCTCACAAGAGCCAGAGTGGGTGTAGGACAGGCTGGGTTAGGTCTCTGCACCCACTGAACCATGAGAGAGCTGGGTCTGGGGGTGGGTCAGACATGGCTGGGCTATAGCACTCAACAGCAAGAGCTGGAATGGGTGTGGGCCATTGTTCCTGCCAGAACAGAAGCTGGGCCAAGAACCCACCAGTGTGCATGAGATTTGTGACTGGGAGATGACCTGACAGAGGAGGAGCTTTGGGAATTCATCTGTCAGGATGCAGTCCCTGTAGATGAGCTCAGGAACGAAAGCTGAGAGCAACCCAGACCATGCCAGGTTACAGTACCAGCTGGTATATGTGTGGGTCAGGTCTGGTGGGCCAGGCTGGACAAGTTCATAGCACCTACAGGCAGATGTGAGAACCAGGATAGGATGCATGTTGAGCCACAATACCAGCCAGTTCACGTTAGGGTCAGGACCGGGAGCTGGCTGGGTAGGGCTAGACTACAGAACCAGCTGGTGAACGCTGAGGTGAGGCAAGACATGCCAATCTGGGCCACAGCTCCTGGGCAAGCCCAGTAGGGGAGCTCCCCACTGGTGAGCATGAGAGCTGGGACTTGTGGCAGATCATGCTGGGCAGGACTATAATACTAATTGGCTGCAATGTTAGCTGGGTTAGGGGGAGAGCCAGGCTGGGCTAAGTGACCATATCCACTGGTACATGCATGAGCCAAAGTTAAGTGCAGGCTGGTAGACTTGTCGCAGAATCAGTTAAGTTATTTGGACTGGGGACAAATCCCATCAGGCCAGACTGGAAGTGGACATAGTAAGGACAATGTGGGCACCCCTCTGACAGGCTGCATAGGCAGTGGCACATGCTGACATGAGTGTAGGCTGGACAGTGGGGTTAGTTGGGCTGTTTGACTCCTATATCCACTGATTTGTATGACACCTGAATGGGATGCGGGACTGACAGGACCAGTCTGTTACACATACTGGCAAGCACAGCAATCAGGGCTGGGGGTAAGCCTCACGGGGGTTACTGGGTATTGCTCCGACCAGGGTGCAGTTCCCGCTGCTGTGCATGAGGGCAGAATATGTGGTGGGCAGGGTTAGGCTGGGCCACAGCATCCACTACTTTGCATGACATGGGTTGGGGACAAAACTGACCACATGACTGAAACCACTAGTTAGTGTGTAGGCTGATGTGGGTGATGGACTTAGCTGGATTCCACACTGCCTGGTATACACATGAGTCAGACTGATCCCCACAACTGGATCATTGGACTCAGAATTCCTTCCACAGTGAAAACCACAGGATCTGTGGTCTGTGGAGTTCATGTATCATAACTTGGTCAACACAGTTGCTGAGGCCCGTGCAGCATAAGGCATGCCTAGATGAACATGGGGGACATGATCACCAGCTCACTGAGGCAATGGAGGACAGAACAAATTAGATAGCTCTCCCAGAAACGTATCTGGGCTAATCAAGACTCTAAGGTTGGGGCCTGGCATAGCAGCCTAGCAGTTAAAAGTCCTGGCCTTGAACGCACTGGGATCCCATATGGGCACCGGTTCTAATTCCGGCAGCTCCACTTCCCTTCCAGTTCCCTGCTTGTGGCCTGGGAAAGCAGTCAAGGATGACCCAAAGCCTTGGGTTCCTGCACCTGCGTGGGAGACCTGGAGGAAATTCCTAGCTCCTGGCTTCAGATTGGCACAGCACCAGCTGTTGCGGCTCACTTGGGGAGTGAATCATCGGATGTTAGATCTTCCTCTCTGTCTCTCCTCCTCTGTATATATGTCTGACTTTCCAATAAATAAATAAATCTTAAAAAAAAAAAAGATTTATTTATTTTTATTTTATAGACTGCTTTCCTAGGCCACAAGCAGGGAGCTGGATGGGAAGTGGAGCTGCCGGGATTAGAACCGGCATCCATATGGGATCCCAGCGCGTTCAAGGTGAGGACTTAAGCCGCTAGGCCACTGTGTTGGGCCCAAAATAAATAAATCTTAACAACAACAACAAAAAAGCCTCTAAGGTGAACCATGTCAGCCAATGTACTTTGAAAGGATTTCCTCAATGCTGGTGCAACGAAATCAATGACATCTCAAAATTTTTTAAGTCACTTAAGCAGTAGCCTCAGAACATGCCCCATATTGGGGATCCTGGGATGACATCAGGCTGCTGCCCCCCATTCCTGGGTACTGATGTGACTTCCCTCAGATACAGAAAGGGAAAAGGAAAGTGTAGGCAGTTGTCTCCCTCACTTTCCCTTTTCCTCAACTCTCCTCACCCTAATCAATGGGCCATATGCGCATGCATGCCTCTCAACTATGTAAACACCATCAAAATAAAACAAATTCATTATTAAAAATAAAGACATCACCTTCCAAACTATGAACTAACTAAGACCAAGATCTGAGTTTTAAAAAAGAATGTAGTGATGCTCTTTCTTAATATAAAGAAAAAACAAAACAGAAAAACTAGCTTCCATAACCCAACAGAATTTCTTTGATAGAAATCATTAAGATTCTAAGAAAAGGGACTTGATTATGTGCCCTTCACTCAATGTCCCATTTACATTTAGTTGTCAATATAACCAGGGTACAGAGGTGACAATCCATCACAACAAAGTACCTCACAAGCAGGATTAATTCCCTTATTGCAGGTTCCAAAGTAGTGGTCTTGGGTTTTAAAGCCAAGGTCTGAACACAGATTCTGCATTAGTGATACATGGCCATGACAGAGATGGTCCCTGAGCCTACCTGTGCACGTGGCAGCAGTCATCATGTGCTGTCATCATTGGATGAGAAGTGCTATGTCAAAAGCACCAATAAACACAGGGAGGGCTAAACTGTTAATCCAATGGTAATATTGTAATAGCATTCCAATACAAACTTGGCTTTCTGGTTTCCTGCCATTTTCCCGAGAACCAGTGATGTAGTAGGCATTACCTCCTTCCTTACCACTCTGCTGGTGACGGGAGAAGCTGGGACTAAGCATGTCTAACCCCCAACCTGAGCATCTCAGTACACCTGCCTGTCATGCCTGCTTCCTCTGTCCAGTAATGTCTTTTAGACTAGGATAAATATAAATACCGGATAAATATATCAGCGCTTCTGAAGACAAATTAATGCTGATGTTAGTGCTTACAAAAGCATCCACCTGAAGAAAACATGGATGTTTTTAGAAAAGTTAGTTCTTACTGTGAAGTTCCCAAATAGAACAAGACACTGAGAAAGGAACAACATGCTCCTCCTATTTCAGGAACACGACACCAGGGAAGTTCTGGTTAAGCCTTGCACAACCTCTACGGAAACTAAGGCAGGCTGTACACTCAATTCTGGAAAGGCCCAGGACAAGCACTTCCGGACCTTCTCCTGTGCTCAGTCACTTATTCTGACTCACTGACCAACAGAACTTCTTATACTACCACCAACAAGCACCGTTCTTAACTAGAAACTTCTGCTGGAAATGCCACTACAGCACAGCTGATATTCGGAGGCCTGGAAGACAACACACCTCAGCCACTTGGTCCTCTCTCAGGCCACAGTCTAGCAGTTTTTAAACTCCTGACAGTTAGGAAGCCTGGCTTGCAGATTTAGCTTGCCCCAGTCAGAGTTTTATAATGTCACTTCACCTCTGAAGATATTACCTCAACTGTAAAATAAAAACTGAGCTCGTACTGTCAAGATTCTTTCATTTAAACTGACTGAGATGAGAATTCAGAATTAGAAAGTAAGAAACACCCCAAGCATTAAGGTGATTTACCTGATCATCTTCAGAAAGTTCAGCTATTCTCTTCACATCGCATTTGTTTGCAACAATTATAAGAGGCTAACAAAGAAAAAACAATAATGAAATTGTTGGCATTCATACCATATAAAACAAGCTAAATCATTTCTTGTCATACTTACCTTGTTGATAAAGAGAGGCTTTATATTCCGGAACAGTTCCAGCTGCTCCTTCAGCCCGTGTCCACACTGCTCGGACAGGTCCATCACATAGAGCACGGCAGCGCGCAGGTGAGCCAAGGCTGTGATGGCCTGCATCTCGATGGTGTTGCGGTCCTCTAAGGGGTGATCCAAGATCCCTGGGGTATCCACAACCTAACGAGCGAACACCATTATTCCAAAGCACACCGATTAACAAACCGCTTTCCAGTCTGTTGCAGAAACCATCCCACATACTGAAACCAGACCTTACAAACTAGCAAATAAAACGCAGAGCTCCAAAATTGACAATCATAAAAATAAAGCAGAGAGAGAAAAAGCACGTATTTTTTTTTTTAACACTAAATAAATGGGCAAGTGTGGGAACTCCGCAGAGCTCCCTGAAACCTTGGCCAATGACCTTGAGACAATCACCCCTGTGGTCACCACTGACAGCGGAAAATAGAGAAACTGAAATAATCCCCAACCTCCCATATTTTAGGGCTTATTCATCAGTTATAAAATCAGACTGTTGAAACAGTATTTCATGTTTTTAAATAATATATAAGCCACGTGCAACAACAGAACTAAAGACAGGCAGAATTTAATTTCATCACAAGTATACACTGTTGACCACAGAGAAATTCACACTGCTGGCTTGTTACTTTCTCTCTCCTAAGCTCAGACAGGTTTTCTTCATGGTGAAAGAAAAATCTTAAGCTCTTGGTCAGCCCAGAGAATCTATTTTCCTTACCTCCTCAGAGCTGATGCTACACTACTTTCAGTATACCAGGAAAAGGACAAACATCCTGGTGCTTCAGAAATCATTAAAATCAGATTTCATTACCAAAATATCCAATATGCTGCTTCTTTGTTTAAAGATAAGACTCTCACCTGCCAACGTAGATACTTGTAATCCATGTGCCCAACAAACAGAGACTTGGTTGTAAACGCATAGGGCTGAACATCTACATCTGCTCTGGTCACCTGCAAGCAAAAAGTCCATCGAAACTGTCAGTCATCGGGATGCTAACTTCACTTCCTGTCAAACAGCAAGACTCACTCCTGGCAGGAAAGTGCAAGAGACTTCATGACGAAAATGCACAGGACAGGAATATCCACGTTTGATAAACGGCCTGGCTTCTCTTCCCACAGCACAGGGCTCAGGACTCTGGTTTCAGGGAGGAGGCAAGGTCCAATATTTGGAGGACAGATACCATCACATCTCGCCCTCCTGCCCACTCGCCCTTTACCTCACCGAGCCCAACAGAGGTCTATGGTGAGGGAAACACTCCACGCCCACAGCCCACCTGCCAAACACTGTCAACAAGCTCTGGATACGTGGTTTGTATGGCCTCGGAACTCAAGTTTTCATTTTGCATGCAGTGAAAACAGTCATACAGAACACAGCCAGCTGAGGAAGGTTCAGAGCCTCCTGAGGACAAGTGTCTCAACTGACAGGTGGGCCTTGCCAAGCTTTATCAAGATGTCACGGCAATCTGTACACCTAGGAATCTATGAATCTGCCTCAAAGCAAACGCATTCTTTGTAAGGCTTACTTATTTGAGAGTAAGACGGAGTGCATGTGAGAAAGATCATGTGAAATAGGAGAATTTTGCATTTACTGGTTCAACCCCGCAGACAGCCACAACAGCTGTGGCCAAACCAGGCTACAGCCAGGAGCCGACACTCCAGCCAAGCCTCCGGTGTGAGCGACAGGGATGCAAGCACTGCGGGAATAACCTGCAGCCTCCAAGCCGCGCATCAGCAGCATTCTGGACAAGTGGAAGCGGGACTAGATGCCAGACTCTCCAAAGTGCCTGCCTTGCAAAGATGTTCTCAGCACCAAGTAATGCACACCACTTTTAACTACTGTTTTGCCATACATTGTTGCTGATTCTAAGGTGACATTTTAAATGTTCTTTAATTCTTTTCAGATCTTGATTCAGCTCAACTGTGCCTGTGCCGAAGCACAAAATTCTTGAGTTACCTAAATGTTACCATATTCCCACTATAATGGAAAAGCAGTTTGTGTGAAAGCTGACACAGCAACTAAGAAGACAAACCATTACAGAAAGGGTTACAGGAGCAGGTATCTGGATTTGGTTGATGGCTCTGCTCTGGATTCCAGCTTTCTGCTAACAACTCGTCCCCTGGGAGGCAGCACGTGATGCTGGCTGGCTGTTAGATCCCTGTCACCCACCTTGGAGATTCATTCAGAGCTCCTGGCTCCTGATTCACACTCAACACCAGGCTAGAATCAATAGGTGAATCCTCCACCCTGTGGTGCTAGCATCCCAGTTCATGTCTGGCTGCCCCACTTCCTATCCAGCCCCCTGCTTGTGCCTTGGAAGGACATCAGAGGACGGCGAAGTCTTCAGGACCCTGAACCCACATGAGAGACCGAGAAGCAGCTGCTGGAGCCCAGCTTTGGATCAGCTCAGTTCTGGCAGTTGCATTAATTGGGGAGGGGGTTGTGAATCAGCAGATGAAAGCCCTTCTTTCTCTACTTATTCATTTTTCTGTAAAATCTGCCTTTCAAATAAAAGTCTTAAAACACACACACACACGGGCCTGGCGCAATAGTGAAGTGGTTAAAGTCCTCGCCTTGAACAAGCCAGGATCCCATATGGGCACCAGTTCTAATCTTGGTGGCCCCACTTCCCATTTAGCTCCCTGCTTGTAGCCTGGGAAAGCAGTTGAGGACGGCCCAAAGCCTTGGGACCCTGCACCCGTATGGGAGACCCGGAAGAGCCCCTGGCTCCTGGCTTTGGGCTGGCTCAGTTCCAGCCATTGTGGCCACTTGGGGAGTGAACCATTGGATGGAAGATCTTCCTCTCTGCCTATCCTCCTCTTCAATAAAACACATATACACACACACCAACCTTATTGATGAAGCTGGATTTTCCAACATTTGGGTACCCACATAAAAGCAGAGTCCTTGTATTTGGATCAATGGTTGGCAAACGGGATAAATGCTGACGCACTGTGAAGGTTAAGATGAAGAATTAACAAACTCCGAGGTTTTTGATTTGCTTGAAATTTTCTCTTCCAATTACCTGTCCTCCAGGCTCATTACTCATATAATGCGAGTGACTAACAGAGCAGGAATTGATGAAAGAAGAATTTTTTGCAGAGTAATGACAAATACACTAACTAGGATGGTGTATATAGGACCCAGCGCAGTAGCCTGTGGCTAAAGTCCTCGCCTTGAATGTGTCAGGATCCCATATGGGCACCGGTTCTAATCCCAGCAGCCCTGCTTCCCACCCAGCTCCCTGCTTGCGGCCTGGGAAAGCAGTTGAGGATGGCTCAAAGCCAGGAGATCCTGCACACATGCGGGAGACTCAGAGGAGTTTCTGGGCTCCAGCCTGTTGTGCCTGCTTGGGCAATTATTGAATGCAAGATCTTCTTTGTCTCTCGTCCTCTCTGTATATCCCACTTTCCAATAAAAATAAATAAATATTAGAAAAAAAAAAAAAAAAAAGAAAAAAAAAGAGAGAGATTTCCCAACCATGGCCCGGTAAATGATACAGCCAGGTATTCCGACGCACTAGAACAGAGATGGTCCATGTCTGACAAGTGTCCTGACGACTCCTACTCAGATACTTGAGAAATAGCATCGCCTGAAGCACGCGAGCTTTAGTTTTCTGGCTAGTGTATGGGTGATTTCCATCTGACTGCCTCATCTGTAGCACAAGCAGCTCCACGGCGCTACTCAGTGAAGACCAGCCTGGATGGAAGCATTCTTAAAGCACCCCGCTGCCACAGAGCATTGGCAGGATGTGGGGGGGAGAAGAAAACCCAGTGAGTCCAGACAGTCTGTGATGTGAAAACATATGTAAGGAAGAAAAGCAGGCCAACTGTTTCAACAAAACTCTACATCAATTCAGAAATCATTCTATTAAATATAAGCTGTTTCGAAAAAGTCAACAGGCAAAACTATGACACTTTATATATTTCCAACATTGTGATTTGTGTCTATGTTTTACTTAGTTAACTATTAAAAAAAAATAAGCTTTCTTAACAGCGCTGTTAATCTGTAAGCATTCCATGTGCTAAGGCACTTTTGCAACAGTACACAGCTTTTTAGAATCTCACACAGGTTTGGCTAGGAAAAATCATTTGAGCTTGTGAGCTCTAAAACGACACAATCTCCAGGTCGTGTGTGCGGCACAGATCAATCGCCTCAGTAGGATCCACCGAGACTTTCCCCACGCGTGCGACAAGTACCTTGCTCCAAGTACTCCAGGCTCTGCCGCTGCCTCTTGATGATGGTGCACATGCGCCCCAGGGCGGCGCGCTTCAGCTGCTTACAGCGGTACAGCGAGTCACCGTACTTCATGAGCCGCACGTAATCTTTGGCAACACTTAAAAAAAAAAAAGTAAGTATTTTTTTCCACCTTTGACAATAACTTAGAAGATACTAAGCAAGCAACAAAATACCTTACTTGTCCACTAAATTTTTAGCAATATTTATTTGTCCCAGAGCCAACTTGTAATGATCCTTGTCATACAGAATGTTCATCAGATCAGCATAAAATGGATGGATATCCTGAAACAAACAAACAGTCATGAAGTGGTCACTGCAGATTGTTTCTGTAAAGCAGGGCGAGAGAAGCCTTCTTAGGCCAAGGGCTGTCTGGGTATTCATGATGACATGTGTGGGGCTTAGAAAATCAACCTACAAACTTGCCTGCTCCAGGTGATTAGCTTTCAAGCCTCACCTGTGGCTGCCTGGGCAGGGGAAGACCCAATGATCTCCTTGGGGACCAGAGGCTCCTCACCCTAGGCACTAAGTTACCTCATAAACTCTTAAAGGTCAGTTACTTTGTTTTCCTTTCTGTCAATCTAGTCCCCCCACAGGCTCTGCCAGTTCCTATTTACATGGCTACCTGAGTTCCCCATGGTCACTTACATCCAACTTGGGGAAATCAGTAAGAATCTGTGAGAGCCGGTCATGATAATTTTGTTGCGTAAATTTGACTTTTCTCATATAAAAATGTCGAATCCGATGAATCTGGTAATGTTTGTGAATCACTGTGGGGGTCTTTCGTTGAGTCTTCGACAATGTCAGGTCGATAAAGTCCTGCAATGAAACAATATAAGGCATATTCACATATTCATGTCCAGTGTTTCATGTGCGTATTTGAAATCTTCTTACAAAACACTAAGACCCCACGGTACACCATTACACAACAAGAATTTACTTCTTCTAACCAAATCCTTTAAATAACCCTAACCCTAACTTTCAGGAGGTTACTTTAAAAGGGTGGGCATAGGACACCCCCATCCCACCCTCCCACCCTGCAGTGCCTGGGTTCCCAGCCCTGCTTCCTGCTCAGGTGGTGGGGAGTGGCAGCACAGGAGAGCTGGCGCATCTAGGTTCACACACCTGCCACCTGGGAGAGACCCAGCCTGTAGACCAATGGAAGAACTTGCTCTCCCCCCACCCCGCCCCTTTAAAAAAATCTCTTCCAAGTAAGTACCTTTTTTTAAGAAGTAGGTTGATCTCCCCTGGCCCCCTGCCTCCTACTGCCTGCTCTCTTGAGGACGAAAAGTGTTTCCCCTCACCTTCTCCTTCCTGACCCACCCTCCCCAACCTGAGCCAGGTACACCCACAGTTCTCAACCTCTGCATTTATATACCACTTGCTTAAACTGAAGTTTATTTTAGTGCCAGAAGTCTTGAAATCCACATAAAGATTTTCAAAATACACACTTCCCAAGAACTGTTTTGAAGACCCCTTATATTATTCTGGGCTTCTAAGAAATGTTCACCTACTGAAACAAACTTCACCCCACACACTACCTTCAAGTCTCTCAACCTTGGAAACTCATCAAATAAGTATAAATTAGGGGAAGATATTAACATAAACAACTCTGCATCTTCCACATGCATTTCTTTGGAAGTACACAAAGTAGGCGAGCAACTATTTGAGGACATGTGAAAACTGCATGACTTCCCCAGGCAAGCTTTCCCTCAGATACTTTCAACCTGAAGGACGACTGCATATTCCTCTAACTTCCACATTTTTATGTTCCTAACTGCTTCTACGTAGCCCTCAGGATCTTCACTTAGTAGTTCCTAAAACAAGCAGTATACCCATAGTTTTCTGATGAGATTTTAAGAGAGCTTTCCAGGCACCCAAGCATCACCCTCACGCATCTTTCAGGCATCAGTAAACGTGTCTTCTAGAACTAACGTCCCTCGTGATGCGTGCTGCACTACCCACGTATTTCCGAGCTCAGCACACAGCTCCAGGACGGGAGCGACGCTCCCAGCGTGCAGGGTCCTACCGCAGACCCACACATTCCTAGGCACCCCGATCTTCCTCGGCCAGGACTCGAACACGCGGCCAGGAGTGGGGCGGCAGCCGAGGGCCCTGGGCTCGGGGCGCCACCCTCACGGTTCAGGCCACGCAGTCGACCCCGGCGGCCCGGCCCAGGCAAAGGGCGATGTGTCCCAGCCGCCTACCTTGGCGGACGGCACCACCGTGATCTTCTTGAAGTTGTAGTGCGCCATGCCGGCAGCGGAGCGCACGAGGAGAGGGCACGGCGGGTGGCGACGACACTTCCGCCATCGGACGCCAGCGTCGCGTCATTTCCGGCCTGCTTTCCGCTGCTCCTCCCCAAGTCCTGGGGTGCCCTCTGGATCGCGCAGCGCCCCCGCGCGGCCTGGAGGCCCGCCAGCCGAGGGCTCTGGGGAGTGAGGCTTCAGGGAGCCGGTTGAGGTGGGGCGCGACGCGAGCCGTTGGGGTCTGCAGAGGTCGGGGGTGAAGAGAGGCAGGGCTCCCTGCTCGCCTCGCTGGACACGGGATAGGGGGTCAGGGCAGTGCTGGGGGCGTGGGCTGCCCCTGGGGCTCAGCTCCGGGAGCCGGGGAGTCTCCCTGCAGGCCCCGGCAGGCCCCGGCGTTGTGGGGCGTCACGGTCATGGTCAGTCCTCCGGTGGCCGCGAGGCGGCCGGCTCCAAGGGCAAGGCCGGCACGTCCACCGTGGGCGCTGCACAAGCCCGGGCCGCGCCGGTTCCAGGAGCGAGAGCAGACGACGACCGGTGGCGGGACTTCATGCAGACGTCCCAGCACGGAATGGACGCGCGCAGGCAGGCCGGGCTAGCCCCACCCTTGGGCTTTCCCGGGCAGCGTGGCTGCCCATTGCTTTGGTTCCATCTGCTCCGTAAAACGGGACAGCAAGCTAATTCTCCACCTGCGGTGACGCATGCAATATGGGCGCAGGTCGGTGACTCGGCTGCAGCACTTCCGACCCCAGCGCCCTGCACGTGGCCTGGGATAGCAGGGGAGGACGGCCCCAAACCCTGGGGCTCTGCATCCACCTAGGAGACCTGGAGGAAGCTCCTGGCGCTTGGCTTTGGACCAGCCCAGCTGTAGCTGCTATGGCCATTTGGGAGTGAATCAGTGGATGGGAGATCCTTCTGTTTGAGTAACTCTGATCTTCAAGTAAAAATAAATAAATGTGAAAAAGGGGGAAAAGGTCAACGTCCCCTCTGATGTGTTCGTTAAGTTTCAAGATCTTTTTCCCACTGAACTTTTTCTGCTTTTTAGGACCTCCCTTCCATCCTATCCCAGCCCAGCCAGCTCAGCCCATCCCATCCCAGCCCAGCCCAGCCCAGTCTATCCTAGCCCAGTCTATCCTAGCTCCAGGTTTCATGGTAAGTTTTCCTCACTGCCTCTCCCTAAGTAGCTTTCCCTCTGGAGTTTGTCCTCCACCCTTTTTTCTCCCTCCTCAAGGCCTTTTTTTGAATGGCAGCTTCACCCACCATATCTGCAGGAAAGGCTCCAATGAAATCAGTATGAATGGCTGGATTTCCGCTTTCAATCTGCGATTCCAGATATGTCAGACTCAGCGTGTCTGCGCATCAAAGGCCATCATCTTGGCACTCCTCTTGGCTGTGCGGTCAGAGGGCGGCCATGCCCTGCCTCCCTGAGTGGGACTCCACAGAGCAAGGGGCTGGCTGGGCCAGCGGCTGAAGACCAGAAAACAGGGCAAAGCTGAGGTCAAGAAACAGATGCGGAGGGGCCCAAATCCTGTGCTAAAATCCCAGGAGAAGAGCAGAGAGGGAAGGCCTGACTCAAGGCAGTAGCGTTGAAACGGACTCTACACAGGGGCAGCTGGGAGTCAGTCCCCGGGGGCCTGAGGGGAAGGTTGGGCACCTAGCAGCGTAACTTCTGCTAATGGAACAACCACTCGCACAGGTGAACTGAGAGCCACATGCCACGTGCAACGCTCAGTGGGGCTGGCTGTGACTCCAGCACTGGTCAGAGCTGTGGACCACAAATTAACTCGTTGCATTGCAGCAGGCCTGCAGCTGGTGGCAGAGTGAGGTGAATGCCACAGCATGGCTTCACAGCTAATAAGCAGCCGTGTGGGCCTTAAGCATACATGCCCCGGTTCCCACGAACTTCCTTTTAATGCTTCAGTGTCTTGCCGCTGTGTCATTTTGGGTGATTCCCTCACTTCTCAGATCCTTTTGACAAGTGTGTATCATTCTTCTGGGAGAAAGACTCATAAATTTCAACATTGCAAGTCATTTTGAACCATCTTCTCAGCTCTCATACTAACAACGATGCCCACCTTTGTGTTATCGGCAATTTGAAATGAGCACGCCTCCTGTCTCCGTGAGGCACCCAACAGGAAGTCGACAGGGCAGTTACAATTCACTAGCAATAATCATTAGCTAAACCACAGGAAAGTTCTATGTTTTAAGTTTTATTATGATTAGAAAGTTAAAGTTACAGACAAATACGGAGGAAGAGATGAGTTGTTCCATCCAATGATTTACTCCCCAAATGACCATGATGGCCAGAGGTGGGCTGATCTGGTTACAGGAGCCTGGAGCTTTTGCTGGGTGCCAAGGACTTGGACTGTCCTCCAGTGTTTTCTCTCTCTCTTTTTTTTAATTACAGATACACAGAGAGGAGAGTCAGAAAGGAAGGTCTTCCGTGTGATGATTCACTCCTCAAGTTACCACAACGGCCAATGCTGAGCCAGTATGAAGCAAGGAGCCAGAAACCTCCTCGAGGTCTCCCACACGGGTGCAGGATCCCAAGGCCCTGGGACATCCTCAGCTGCTTTCCCAGGCCACAAGCAGGGAGCTGGATGGGAAGCAGGGCTGCTGGGATTAGAATCGGCGCCCATATGGGATCCTGGTGTGTTCAAGGTAAGGACTTTAACTGTTAGGCCCCTGCACTGGGACCTGTCCTCCAGTGTTTTTCCAGACACATCAGAGGGAGCTGGATGGGAAGTGGAACAGCTGGGACTCAAACCTGCACCCCTATGGGATGCTGACACTGCAGTGAGTGGCCTAACAGGCTATGCCACAGCATTGGCCCCAAAAGGCATTACTGGCCACCACTTTTGAGATTAGCAAATCAATGTACATAATCACATTCAGTCTCGTTTGGTAATATCCTGGTTTCTTCAGATCCAGCATTTAGATATCTAGTCAGTTCTTGGCTTTGGGTGGACAATCATTGTCAATTTAGCTCCTAACTTCAGGCAATAATTATCTTACATTATAATACAATATATAACATAAATACATTTATAAGATAATTGAAAGTTATCATACATTTGTAAAGTAACTTAAAATTTACACAGTGCTGCACCCAGCGCAGTAGCCTAGCAGCTAAATCCTCGCCTTACGTGTGCTGGGTTCCCATATGGGTGCTAGGTCATGTTCCGGCAGCCCTGCTTCCCATTCAGTCTCTGCCTATGATCTGGGAAAGCAGTTGAGGATGTTGCAAAGCCTTGGGATCCTGCACCAGTGTGGGAGACCCAAAAGAAGCTATGCCACCTAGCTTTGGATAGCCAGCTCTGGCTGTTGTGACCACTTGGGAGTGAATCATTGGACAGAAGATTTTCTCTCTGTCTCTCTTCCTTTCTGTATATTTGACTTTCCAATTAAAAAAAAATCTTGGGCCTGGCGCAATGACATAGTGGCTAAAATTCTTGCCTTGAGCACACCAGACACCGGTTCTAATCCGGGCAGCCCCGCTTCCCATCCAGCTCCCTGCTTGTGGCCTGGGAAAGCAGTCAAGGACAGCCCAGGGCCTTGGGACCCTGTACCCGTGTGGGAGACCTGGAGGAGGTTTCTGGCTCCTGGCTTCAGATCGGCTCAGCACCGGCCATTGTGGTCACTTTGGGTATGAATCATTGGACAGAAGATCTTCCTCTCTGTCTCTCCTCCTCTCTCTCTTTCCACCTTTCCGATAAATAAATAAATCTTAAAAAAATGTTTACACAGTTCTTTTCTTTGTGGCAGTTGCTGTGACACAGCAGGATATGCCACTGTGTGCATTTTTCAGCATCCTATATGGGCAAGAGTTCATATCCTGGCTGCTCCACTGCTTCAGCCTCCTGCTAATGCACCCAGGAAGGCAGTGTAAGATGGCCCAAGGGCTTGGGCATTCTGCCCCCCTCATAGGAAGCTTGGAGAAGCCCCTGGACTCAGCCTGGCCCAGCCCTAGCTGTTGTAGCCAACTGGAGAGTGAACCAGTTGATGGGAGAACTCTGTCTCTCCTTTCTCTAACTGCCTTTCACCTAAGATAACTAAGTATTTTTAAAACAGGAAAGAGAAGGAAAGATGAACTCAAGCTTAGCTTACTCACTTAAATTGCTTTGCATTTCAGTTTCCCAAAATTCTTACAACAATGTTCTGATGAAGATCAGGGTCTCACTTCTTCCCCAGACACACTACTTCCATGTCATGCAGCAAGCAGCTGAGAGCGTGCGGAGGCCCAGCGCCTCCCCAGCTACCTGAAAAAACAAACATTTATGTGAACAATATGCAGGAGAAACAACGTGTGTACAACAATGCAAAATGTCAATATTGTAGGGTTTTTTTGCTTTGTCTGGTACATCAGAGTCTGTTCATGTGGAATGCAAAAGGAGATACTTATTAAAGAGGAAATCACTATTCTTTTGACAACGTATTTTGAGAAGATTTTATAAATCCAGTCCATGAAAAACTACTGACAGGTCTTGATATTATTAGTGTTATTCCCCCCAATTTGCTATTATTACTGTTATTTCCAAGAATTCACCTAAACGTCTCAGCAATTTTCTCAAATACCTTGAACCCTGCTGGGCCGCAGACCCCTGGGGTGGGTGACTTAACTCCCGTAATCAGGCCAGCACGCTGGTAGTGGGTAAAGCCACTGCCTTAAGAGTCTGCATACCATATGGGTGTTAGTTCATGTTCTGGCTGCTCCACTTCCCAGCCAGCAGGAGAGAATGGCCTGAAGCCTTGGGATCCTTCACTCACATGGGAGATCTGGAAGAAGCTTCTAGCTTTGAATCAACTCAGCTCTGGCTGTTAAGGTCATTTGGAGGGTGAACCAGCAGATGGAAAAATCTCGCTCTCTCCCCTTTCCTCTGTAACTCCACTTAAAAAAAAGTTTATTTTTATTCAAAGGCAGGTATACAGAGAGGAGGAGAGGCAGAGAGGAAGATCTTCCTTCCATCCAATGGTTCACTCCCCAAGCAGCCACAGCCGGTGCTGTGCCACTCTGATGCCAGGAGCCTCTTCCTGGTCTCCCACATGGG